AAACTGGATAAAAGCAGGAAATTAAAATAATAGCATCTTCAAAATGTGTCATGCTGCTACAGTACATGTGACAGCTGTGAGAATACAAATGCTTTTATGGAGACAGACGGTGGAAAGTCTTGCAGATCTGAAAACTGAGCCCACTGTTGAGTGGTTACACTCATTACTGGCTCGATCACAGGCTTTTCTGACGTGAATCCATCTGAAGTTGTGAAATAGCGACACACAAAATGGTGTGTAACTTAAATGTTAATTTGATTTTACTTATATTCTTAATGCTGCATCAGTGAGCCTCTATAAACCAAGGAAATAGCTGCATGTTGTATGGAGGTGTACTGAGGGACAATTTGTTAGAGAAAAGCTCCCTCTAGTGTAGGAAAAAAAAACATAATAATAACACACCATTATGTTTCAATATTTTTAATCAGATTTTCATTTTGTACTTGCATGGGTAAACCAACAAAGTATATACACATTTGTCCTTTTGGAGAAACAAAAAAAACCAAAACATTAAAAGTGCATACATGACAACAAAAGAGAAATAAATTAACATAGAAGACTTTGAATAATGAATGTCAGAACAATTAAAAAAGTAGAAAAAGAAAATTAAGTAAATATTAAGAAGCAAATGCTGGATCAGGGATAATGTTATTACTAATGTAATGTAAAAAAAAAAATGATTAGGCCAGTTCAGACAATGCAATTGTCAATTGTATGTCAATTATAACCTCATGGACCTGGTACAACAATGAATACAGTAAAACAGCCTTGAAAAAATTCTTAATGAATGCAACACACAATATTTTACAAAATGCTTTATGAATGATAAATTTAAAAAAATCATAATAAAAAAAGTCATAGAAGAGAAGTGCCATGAATTTAGCACTGTAGTGTTCTTTGTTAGCTTAAAAAAAAAAAAAAAAATCTAAATCAGACTCATGACATTCATTCATTACACAGCTCCTTGGTTTCTGTATCATCCAAAGACAGAAACTATTCACTGCAATGTGTTTTGCTTCAGGCTTCTGAAAAGTCTCAGTATCGTCTGTTTGTAGTGTTTACATCTAAAAAAAAATACGCTCAAAAGTCTAAACTATCAGCCCCAGAAAAGTCCAAAAATATGTTTTTACCCTAAACTCACAATTGTAGTTCCATATTTTGAGTCCCTTAATATTACGTGTGTCCATGCCGCTGTGTGGCTGTAGAACTACAGCATCTGCAGTGTCTGTGGCTCAAATGGAGGATTTGGGTATTTTAGTGGTTATTGCAACTTTGATTCAGTGGTAAAACACCTACTAAAACAGGCTGCAGATAATGTTGTTAATTAATGGTTTCACCTTTAAAAAGTGGAACTTTTTGTGACTCTGTTAACAACAAAACAAAACAGCTGTTTCACAACAATAACTCAATGAACTGATTCTCTAATCTTAATTAACTTCTGCAGGGAATCCTATATGTATTTTAACAATTAGAGCGATTGATGTTTTATACCCACTTCTCCAGTTATCACAAATAAATAGTGGTGTTGCTTTAAAGCACGTTTGGAAGTTGCCGTTTCTTTGCTGATAAACTGCCTGTTTCAAATGTAAAAAATCACATCATGACTGAAATGATTTATGTGGCGTAAATACTACAAAAAGTATTAACTGAACATTTACATTTTAATGTCATTGTTCATTACATATTGTAATATAAAACTACAAATTATCTATCTTTCTTTATTGCATTTAGCTATATACTGTATATGTATACATATTTATATATAGTTATTTGAGTTGTCTTTATATTAGACTGACCACATCTTTGATGCAGCTGAGAACATTTTAACATGTATCACTGAAGTGAACTGATGGAAGATTTTTCACAATACATACATACATACATACATACATACATACATACATACATGAGGCTATTTAGTAACCACATAGAGATTATCGCATCCATAGTGTTGTTTCTGCTGGTGTACAAAAGTAATAATTAAACATCTTGAGGAAACACAAAAAAAAAAGACAGTAACCTACCAGTTAGGTAGGAGCACCCAGAGAGCACAGATCAGCAGAATTCAAAAATAAAATAGTGAGAAAAATATATATATAAACATTAAATGGTAGAATGCTAAAAGTAATTATGGCATTAAATAGATTTTCATATAGGTGAGATTTGAAAGTTTTAATCCTTTTAGCTGTACAGATGAAATATTCTGTAATTTACAATTTCTAAGTATTGGAATGGTGTGCAAATGAAGCAATGGAATATACCAGCCATGCTCTGCTTTCTACTTTACCAGCCATAGATTTGCATAGTTAATTAAATACATGCATTAGCGTTTTCATGCAATACTGCATTCCTTAATTATTCTCAATTCTGTACATTGACAACAAAAAAACATAGACAATAACTGCTGTGACGAAAGCTAAATAGGAAAATCAATTCTGTAAAGATGTTCATTTTCTCTTACAATGGCTTTTGACATCTTGTTTCAATGCGTAATGTGGATTAATTGGAAATGTAAATACTTCTCGTATGGAGTACAGTACTTCTTCAATTTGAGCTCTCCTTTTTCATCTAATTGATGAATGAGATGAATATTGGATTATTGCTCTACCAACGGTGTGTTGGCCAAGGCATAATAAAACCGAATTTTTGTTTACGATTGGAAGCTTCATGTTCATGACTAAATGACAGAAGGTTCCCGTGACTTAAAACAGGACCAAAGTAATACTGTAGATATTCAAATCAGCTCTGCAATATACTACAGACCTCTTCACAACTGCTACTGAACTAGCTTACTAAATTAGCCATCATGTCTCATCTAATCTTACATGTAAGAAAAAAAACAGTAGTGTAGGCAATGTGGTGACTATAAACGTAATAGTCATGGATAAATGAAAAAATGGCTGAAAAACAAGCGAACAGGCTTCAGCTTTCAGATTACTGTAGAGAAAAATAATTCAATCATAAAATGTTACAAAATATTTAAATATTAAGAGCAATATACAGTATGACTCACATTGTCAACTGATCCTAGTTTACAATGCCCCCAAAAACCAAATCAAAATGTCAAAAGTGAGGGGCCTCACATCCTAATGCACTAGGTTCTGGCTGCATGAATGGACCAATAAACGTTTTATTTAGCAAGTGAAGGAACAGACAACAAATAAGTGCAATGGCATGATCCAGCTCTAAAATGTACACTAGCCACTACAACTTAATAACAGACTTAATAACAGGCAAACAAGCCGGTGAAAGCCAAAATTACATAAAATTGTCCTGCTTTGATCCAAAGTGCCATGCACAGGTTCCTGATAGAATACATTGTAAAGTAGAAAAGAGCAGCTAAAGGAATACCACCACATTTAAACAGCAGCATGTTATTTCTATGGTCACTGGCAGTTTGAACAAAATAGCCACTGTATTTTTTTTTCTCTCCCAATGGTGGGACACTAAAAGGGTCCCACAAGGTTTTGGGAGACTGAGCTGTTGGTTAGCTTGTGACAGTAATAAAGATAATGAGAATGCATAAAGGAGTTTTTGTGTTGTCCATGTTCATCCCTTAACAGGTAAACTGACTGAGACTCTTCAGAAGGTTTTTTTTTCCCTCTAAATGTCAGGTTTGATGATCTGGTTACACATTTTAGAGAGAAATGTATTCAGAAACTTACCAAACTACAGGTAGGAATAAACAAATACATAATGTGTGTTTGTTATGTGTTGTATTGTTTCTATGGCCTAATTAGTATTCTCAACAGATGGCTGTTTTAATACAGCATTTCTGGGTAGAATTTAGGTTAAAAATGTCACCATATAGCAATTTTGGCTGCCAACAGTGCGGTGATGAACAGCTTGTTCACAGCTTGAATCTCTGAGTAACAAATAATGATGTCTGGTTAGAAAACAAGCTGTATGCATTCCACCAGAAAAACATGGTGCGGCTGTGTTACATCTAATTTATACATCACGGGATGTAGAAAACTGCTCTTACTATTTGATTTGCACTGCTTACTCCAAAGGCAAATCCTTCTGACCAAAAACAGTGTGACCCATTTAAAGCCAGGCACAATAAGGCTGCTGACTTGCTCAAACCCTGCAAAGACCATTTAAATATCATACATAAATCTTTAAATTGAGTGGTATTTCTTCTGAAACCATCTGAGAACCAATGTAAACCTGGTAGATGCTACAGAGAAACAGTTGAGAGAAATGCTGTAGATCTATAATTCAAAGATTATGTTAATGTTTAAAGTAAAAACGACTTACTAATGCTTGGATTTAAATGGCATGACCACATTCATTCATTCAAAACATACACTATGCTGGTATCTAACGTATGAATATTGCAATTGCAGTTGGGGTAATTCAACAATAATAAAGCTGATGGTTAAAAAAAAAGACCACCAAGCATCATAACAACTGCAGTGACCAAATCCTGCCTCTATCATTACACTGCAAAATAAATATACCATGCAGTGTCTGACAGTTCAGATAATTCAGCCTATATATTCATATTTGGACAACAACTGCTCAGAGACAATATAAATGTACTTCTATGATTACATGGCTCATTATTAATATTCTGTATCAGCCTGATGAAGAAAAAAAAATGGCAACGTATCGTTTTCTCCAGTGAGGTACCACAGGTTATGATAAATGCTGCCGACAGATTTCTGGTTCACTGAAGTGTGTGGTCACAGCTCTGAACATCAGCATTTGAAAATATGCTCATTTAAGAAATATCAGTGCCAGAGGAGCATCGGTCTGTTACAGCACCAGGTGTAGTAAAGAGGTGATTTCTTAAAATGACCCCTGAAACATTGAGATGAATGTACCCTTTTACCATTTCAAGTCTAAGGCCTGTTGACGATACTTTACGATATGTCTGGAACTCATGAACCGACAACGTATTAAAAATGAGATAATTACATTTTAAGTTAGTGTGTATTTATATATATATGCTTGTTCTGGGTAAAAGAAAACTACTTTATCTATACAAAGTGCGAACAATTCAACATTCCTACTCAGTGATGCATACAGTAGTAGACTACAATGTTGCCAAAGGCAATTATTTGTTTCTGTGTACAGCATTGAAAGGCGCTTAAGATTATTTTCTTCTTGCTCATGGAAAGGAAAAATGGTTATATACTGTATATTTTGTACAGACACATATATGTAATTGTATACTTTGATTTTAAAGGGTTTCATTCCAAAACACACCGTCCCTTTGAGAGAAAAAAGTAGTTAACTTGATAAAATACATTTCTATCGAAAAAGTACTCGTATTAAACAAAAATAAAGTTTTAAAATATTGGAAAATTTGTCTCGATGTGTGTACTGACTGATTTGTCATCTCAAATAATTTTCTGTTTTTGTCCAGGGCCTGCCATCTGTATAATCTTTCTATTTCAATTCTTTCATAATCAGGAAGTTTAAAATAGTCTCTTATTTGTCTTTTCGGCTACACATCAATCCTCGATTCTCCTCTTTAAACGACTTATTAGTGCATATCGTTAACTAATGTCTTTTCCTCCATAGCTTTAAACAAAATCCTCTCATGCTACCCCCTATGAACCGATGCTTGAGGTGTATGCAGAGAGTATTTGAAAAACAGATTGCAGGTTTTACTTGAAAACAATCAATGAAAACTACTACGAATGCTTAGCCACAATCATTTCGGAATGAAACTCTTTTGTGTGTGTGTGTGTGTGTGTGTGTGTGTGTGTGTGTGTGTGTGTGTGTGTGTGTGTGTGTGTGAGCATCAACTCAGTTTTGTCCAGAGACTATTTTTGATGTTACGGTTCAGTTCTCACTGATACTTTTAGAACAGTGAGGTTTAAACATCAACAGCCAGCTTATTTCTGAAAGAATGTATCAGTTCAAAATGTTATTCTATTCTACAAGACAAATGATGCATTATTGGTATACAAGGTGAATTTCTAAACCCCCTGAATGAATCTTAGTGTACACTGCTGCGGCTTAAATCAGGTTTTTCCGGCAGGATATTTTTCAAGCAAACGAAACTTACTGTTTGCTACGATGCAAAGATATAAAAAGCCTCTTGTCTGAAACAAAAGATAATTGGATTTCAAGATTCCAACAGGGAATTCTGTCAGCTGTCAGCACAATCAAATACGTTGTGCTGTACAGCTGAATGCATATGGCATGCTCATGTACCCTTCATGCCAGAAAACATTTTATGTGTCAAGCGATCACCCTGCACTCCATTTCCATTTTCTCACTTGTATCAATATCATATTGAATGCTCAAAAGTGGTAATTAGTAATATACACTGCTTTAAAAACTAGGACTGGCAGCATACCAGGCAAGTGTTCTTCATCTTTTATCCAGTACAGCTAAAAATACTCAAAGCTGGCAGCCAATATTCAAACCTCAAAGCCAGCATATGCATCTGATGTGAGTATAAAAAAACACAACATCAAAAATGGTCTCTTTACAAATACATCTGGTGCTCACTGAAACTTAGGCACAAAGAAAATAGCTGCATTATGTGAGTTCAATGTACTATAGTTATATCATTGAGGCCTCGGTGTTGTACGTGCAGGAGATTGCATGCTTGATGACAGCTTTCGGGAAGATGCCATCCTTTCAAGAGGCTTCTTCCCATTTGCGGGAGATTTGAGACTTACTTCAGAACTGGAAGACTTGGATTTGCCAACGTTTAATAGAGTGCGACTGAGAGAGCTGGGGGGCTTGGAAGACGCCTTTGTCTCTGATTTTGTCTCACCTCCATGAGTCGCTATGGACGTCTGTGAGGACACAGCGTCTTCTGTCTTTCCCTTATCACCAGTGATGTCCTTGGCTTGTCCATTCTGCTTGCATGTCCTCTCGGAGGCCTTTTTGGCAAGCAGGGTGCTTTTCCCTAAATCAGCCGACCGGCGGCTTTCCCTTTGTCGAAGGGCACTCTTGAAGAAAGACAACCCTTTATCCTCAGGTTTGCTGCTGCGCTGCAGATCTCTGGTGGATATGCTGGGTGAGCGCAGGCTAGTGACAGAAGAGCTGCTGCTGGAGCTCCTCACAAACCTCCTCTCAGGTCGGCTGCTTTCCCCACTCTTAGACGGCGAAGCGCGAGCTACCGTGCTGCTTCGGAGACTGTCGACCAGAGGGCTAGTGTGCATAGAATCTCTGCTGTAGCTCCTTTCTACCAGCTTTTTTCGACTACTCGTGGAGCTTTTCTCAGTGACACTGGAATTCTTCTTTGCCGTTGGTGAGGGAGAAGCTGAGGACTGAGGTGTGGAACGGACGCATGGCTTATGTTGTGGCGTTGCCTCTACGGGTTGAGTTGCTTCCTTGGTTTTGGAGGGAGTTCCACTGGGTGTAGAGGTGCTTTTCTTGGCATTTACACTCTTTTCTTTAGTATTGCTCATCTTCTTGCCTTTAACAGGTGTACTGGAAGACGTCTCTGAAGTGGAGGTCTTGAGGGTTGAGCACAAACGCTTTTTGGAGGTTTTCTCTTGCTCCACTTTGCTGGAAGTCTTTGTGGAGCCTGTGCTTTCTGCCTTTGAGGCAAATCCTGCGATACTGCTCTTACGTTTCTGTTCTTTGGAGGGAGTAGGTTGGCTGGGTAGAATGTTTTGGTCTACAGCTGTAATCTGGTTGTTGTTTTCTGTTGGCTCATTTTTGGTGCTCTTCTTTTCCACTGGAGTGGGAGCCCTGCAGTACATCACATCGAGGAACCTTTTATTGTTGTCCTGGTCACTCAAGTTGCTCTCCATCATAGAAAGGGGAGACCTGCTGCCAAAGTAGCGTTCATGTCTACTGTAGCTGCCAAAACAGGACGTGGAAACCTTGTCATCGCAGGCCTCTCCTATCCTCTCTAGAGGAGGAGAACATCGAGAGTCGAGGGAGAAACGCGACGGCGAGTTGGATCTCATGTGCAGCTTTGCAGAAAGCGACCAAGAAGGCTTTATCCCACTGTCGCTGAAAGCTAACGGGCTAGCGATGGACGACCTGGAGGACAAGCTCTGACGCTGAATGCTCCTCACAAAAGGGCGGACTGAGAATCCTCCTACAAACAAGGAAACATTTTAGAAAGCAGATTTCTTTAAGTGAAGGACGCTCAACTTTAAAGTGATGTTGAGAATGAATACAAATTACAACAACAAATTTCAAATCTAATGAAAATAAGTTCATGCAATCCAAATCCCCATGAATTTTGTAATTTAAAGTTAAAGCTGTTCAAATATCTTCTGGCACAGTGTTATACATTTCTAAATAATTACCACAAATGGCTTAATAAAAAAAAGAATCACTACTATTCAGGTAAGTATTGATACCACAATTAAATGTTTAAGCACTCTAACATATAACAAAGTATAACAAAATACATAATTTGGAAGCCATAGTGAGATCTGTGAAAGTTTTAGTTAAATACCAGTTTGCCTGACCAACATATTTGGGGACTGTGCTGGCCCTGTATTCTGGAGGGTTAAACAGAGCCTACATTTATATTAACCACAAACAGCAGCCCAAGCCAAAATCTGTCTCAATTTGGATTCACTCAGTATGTGAGTAGGATTCTCACAGTACAGAGCTCTGTCAAGCATGTCGTCTTGTCCCAGTCACATGTGACAAATGCCATGTGATATTCTCCCTCTTTTATATCAAATTTAATAATTATTTGGGGTTGGCATTGCTGAGTTCAGGTGTGAGTTAGAACTCTGGGAAACCTTGGTGGTATCTTTTTATTTCAACAGAAACATTGTCTGTAGAGGGAGTGTTGCGTCTTGTACAAAGGTTTGTGTTACTTTAAAGGTGGACTATACCAAGACACAATGAAAGCAAAGCTGTCTCTTTGAAGCTGTTTCCGTTCATCATTTGGGTCTGATGATTTGCCACGTGTACTCTCTTTTATATTGGTTTTGATCTTCTGAATTTAAAAAAGCCTATTCTCATCTGGTATGTGGATGGATAAATGTCATTAATCTAACATAGTTTTGCATCTAAAAAGTTCAAAATCAAAAGATAATTGTGAACTTTATGCTTCTAGTAGAACTATGAACTGAAATTCAAAATATGAGTGTGAAAACATCAACTGTTCATGTGTAATCTAAAAGAATTACATCCAACACCTGTAAAATCAAATAAATACAAATGTAAGCATCTCACCATCATCTTCACTGCGTTCTCCTGGAAACTCTCCTGACTCAGCCAGGGATGCCAGAGAGGTGCGTCTGGATGAGGCTCCAGAGGCCAAGCTAGCAGGCCTACTGCCAGGTAACCTGTTGATCCAGTGGTCACACAGGGATGAACTGGTGGAACCTGCGTAAAAGACAATAAAAACTTTAATTTCCGTGTCCGTGTGGTAGGTCCATGCACATTAAAATCATAAAATGAGTGATGCTTTACTCTAAGATGTTAACATGGAATACGAATAAGAAATCTTTATTTTCCACAATCTGGGAATTTATATTCGGTTTCAACACAACAATTTCATGTCAAAACAAAACATAAAGACATTCATAAGAGTACAACTCACAATACACAAGTCTACGATATACAACATCATATTAACGCACTGTGAAAAAAACTGCAGCACAGTCAGGGGTGCTGCCTTTGACACTGACTACATGGTTGCTTTTAGAACCTTTACATGGGTACTCCGGTTCACATTCTTTATGCAGTCTGTTTATTGGCTAATGACACCTCCTGAATTCTAAATACAGTAGCTATAAGACAGACAGGAAGGAAATACTGACCAGCAACAGAGCTGTTGGCTGACCACGAGGGAATAGCTGTCCTCCGCTGGTAGAACAGTATATAGGCCGTCTGCTGACACACGTCATCGTCAGCTACTGGTGAAACCTCACTGTCATCAAAGCAGTACCACTGACCATCAATTGAGTTCTTACAGTAGGCTGTGTGTTCAAAGCAAAGGGAAGAATGGGTCAAAACAGATGTTGAAAACATCTCTATAAAGTCCAATTCTATATCCTCATAATGCTTGCATAAAGCCCCGAACTAGAACAATTGTTTATAGCGTTACCTGTGTAGTGGCCTCCGTGCATGTTTCCATGGTGGTTGCACACAGCATACAAGTCATACAGGTAGTCATCTGGGTTTCTACCCAGGCCATATGGCCGTCTCCATGGCGACCAATGAGAAGGTAAACTCCAGCTGCTCTGGCTTCTCTTAACCACATGGGGTGCCATGTCCATGCCCATCAGCGGGAACCGTACCATGTTCTGCATCTTCACCCTCCGGTCCCCCTCCTGAAACGGACACCAAGATAAACAGATAAGCATTAAAGGATGACTCCAATTTACTTACTAGTTGCAGCCTATAGCACTTGTGGTAGGGTGTTGTTATAAGATAAGATTTATTGATCCCACACTGGGGAAATTTACTTGCTACAACAGCTCCAGATACAACACAACACAAGAGAATACACATTAAATAAAAATAGAATAGAAATATACAAGTTAAAATAAAAATAGAAAAAATAGAATAAGAGTTATATGTACACTATATAGAGCTTTTTATATACAGATGTGAGTGAAAAGAGATATTGCACAGGTCACAGCCAGATCCATTTTCAGACAGAATCATTGAGTCTCAGTTTATTTGTGGTTTCATGAAAAGTAGCTAAAATAATTACAGACTTTTAACTGCTTTGATGTGTTATCTAGAATGCTACCCAGCATCTTCCTTACATTTAAGATCCATTTAGTCTAACCTACAAAGGATGACTGCTTCAGGAAATAAAATAACACCTCTTAAATATATTAAATATTAATATACCTCAAGTAAGGAGGGTGTAGTTTTAATTTTTTTAGGTTACATTTGAATATTCCCACATCAATTACGACACATCTTCAGGTAAATGCAAACGTGTTTTGCCACTGTTAGCTGGGTACCGCTACTTCGGATGCAGTGACACAAAATGGATTTTAAAAGCTCTAAAGCATGTGGTGAGGAAATATGACCCTGAATAAATTCAATTTGGATTCATAATGGCAGGCAGCGATGCTGAGCCGAACGCACAGTATGTTGAATGTGGTAGTCCTGTCAAATGAGGCACTAAAACCATCTATGCTCCAGGGTCATGCAAGTCAAGGTTTCCCATTGTGACCATCAGAAAATCAAAGGCAAGGAACAAACCTAAAGCAACTTTAAATGCTAGTCTGCGTGTCAGCCTCTCACCCACCCAACCCTGATCTCATTATTTCTCAGAAGCAAGCCCAAGTGTCTCACTAAGGGTAAGCAGAATATGTATTTTGACCATTACAGCTGACAGTAAATTTTTTCTCCTTTTTTGTCATGTTTTTTTATCACTAATTCAGGAAGGTGGTCCTCAGAATTTATCGGAAGCTGTAAAGGGTTGAGAACTCCTGCCATTGAAGATTAAGTCCAGCACAAACACAGATAAATAACAACTTCATCACCAGAGTGAATCTTCCCCTTGAAACTCAGAAAGTAGATGTAGTTTTTATTTTCTATTTTAACAAGTGTTTGGTTAAGCTGAAATACCTGTCTGAACCTCTTGAGATGCAGTATAAGCACATCCGGTAGTGTCCACAGGCTGAGCTTAATGCGGCCCTGCTGCAGCTGCTTGCAGTGGGGACAGCGCCAGGCATCGTCTGGGGCCAGCTGAAACACACAGAGCCCAGGCAGCAGCAATCAAGGACGAGCTCCAACCACACTGCTTATAAAACAGGCCTCACAAAGGATGAGGCCATGAGTTTTTTTCTCCCTTATTTCTATTCTCCACCAGAGCAGTCGCAGGCAAGTCAAACCACAATGTATATGTAGATCTACGCTCAGAATTTCTGGTTTATTCCAAACATAGCATTAGGAGTCAAATACACAGTAAAACCACAGAGAGTGAAAGACTTTCTGAACTTTAGCAGAAAAATAATAAACCAGTGGGGAGGAGACAAATGTGAGGCTATACTTGAAAATATACTAAACACTGACATTAGAAAATAAATCTTAGATTTCCCCTGCCACATGTCAATTTACTGACAGTGCAGTAATGGACCATGTGTGTGTGTACATCTGTGTGCACGAGCTATGTGTGCAGTCACAATGTTACCTGCTCCTCCTTGGTGTAGAGCTGAAAGCACTGAGCGAGGGTGCAAGCCTGCGGCTGGTGATGTTGTTCCCTGTGCAGATACACACTCTCAGCATCAGGAATGTACTCTTCCTCAGTGTGTCCAAACAGACTGTGGGAAACATGAAGCACAGTCGACCATTCATTCAACTGCAAAGTCATGTGAGGATCATAAGAGCTGCCTTGAGATTTTGGTCAAACTGCTTCCTATATCAGAGTAAAACATTTAAAGACAGTTGATGTAATTGTTTAACACATTTCTATTTGACCAGCAAACGGTGTGCATGTGTGTGTGTGTTAACCACACACAGTCATTTTCAAAAAATAAGAGCAGACATGTTATTGGTTGTGTAGGTGAAACAGACTCTGGTGTTTACATGGTTTAAAACCACAACTGTTTTCAGATTAAGCACATTTGTAGGTAGATTAAGCAAGTTTATTTTTTCAAATGCAAATAATGTGATAATAGCAGTTAGGGGAACATAGTGGGAGGCATCTAGATTCAAGGGCTTAAATAGGTTTAGTCCTATAAGACAGCCCTTGTTAAGTTTGAGGTGTTGCTTAACTTCACAGTCTGTCTTTTCAAAAATCCAGCACAATGCAATGACTGTCACCATCAATTTTACTGAAATGTTGCCTCACCTTCAACTGTGTTCTTAACTGACACAGGAAGGCGCAGTGATGTGTGGGCGAGATTGTTTTTGTGACTGTCGCTAGTTGTTGCCTTCTAAGCCAACAAGCAGTTACATTAGGTTGAAAAACAGGTGAGAACTGGATGACCTGATTGGCCAATTAAGGATCAAAATCTGGCAATTTGGCTGTAAATTGGAGCCTGTTAAATACTTTCAGGTCATATATGACAATGCTAATTGTTCTTTCTAAGTCTCATCTTTTACCACTGTAACATCCAGGTGTATTTTGCATAAGTTTAGTATTCAACTTTAAAATTTTGTCATCTCAACTTTGCTTTCTACATAATCACTTACACTGACAAGTTGTTAACCTGCACGTTAATGAATGGCCTTCAAAAAAATTACAATAAATGACACATTCAATGTTATGTCTACAAGGCAAGTTATTATATCAATAGGCTTAATCTAGTCTTCCAAACAAAAGTTGAATTAAATGTAATTTGCATGTCTCCCAAACAGTTTAGTAACAAACAGCAAATACATGTTAAAACCTGGCTTCTTTTCATTCAGTTCAGAACAAACATACTTTAGATAAAACAAAATAGACCTCTAGCAATTATCAATGTTTTTCACTCACTAGTCCTTTGTCTCTTTGTCCCACTCTACCACAATCTTCACATGTGGTGGCCCCCCTTGTCCACAGGACTTGTATGCTCTGTGGTGGAAAGAATAAAAGCAGGAAACAAATTTATGCAGGTGTCATTTATAAATGGGTCAATCACAGTAATGGCAAAAACAAATTAGATTTCACTTTGATTAATACATATCTATGGAGCCCCAGTGTTGTTACTTGTTTAGTGAACTTATGTAGGTATTAGCCAAACATGCAAAACTGGCATTTTAACAAACAGCCAAAATCATGTTAGGGCATGTCAGGCCTGAAAGAGGAACAGAACTGATGGGGCGTGTATGTGTTAAGAGAAGATTAGAGAACAAGATGGATGTAATTTTAACCTTGCCCAATTACCCAAATCATGGCTATATTTGCCTTTGTGTGCATATGTATACACAGTGTTTGCTTTTATTTCAACATCCCTCACTTTCACCTTTCACTGAAATGAATGCTAAGAAAACACTCTTGGTTTCAAATATCTGCATTTCCCTGGCTGGGCTATAGTAAAGTCATATAGTATTTTAAACAAAACTAAATGTCTTGTATGTTTATACTTATACTTGAGTACCGCTCAAGTCTTGGCTGTGTTTCCAACTTTTCAACCCGAAAGGCATTATGCCTGGAAATTTATGAGAGCATATACTGTATGCAGATACACGAGCTGTATTAAAGACAGGTACATTTGTGTAACTCCAAGACCTCAAAATCACATCTCATTCAAAATTATCCCCAATACATTTTTTTGGTTTAACCCTCAGCCCTAATTAATCAGTAAACAAATTGTTTATTGCATAAAACTCACTCACCTATCCACAGTTGGGTGACACAATGGTCGCTCATCTTGAGGAAGGAGGTAGGTGATACCAACAACGCCAACCACCCGAAGACTGAAAGGTCCAACCTACACATAGACACGAATGTCAATACTTCTGTGAGAACAGTACATCTGGCGTACTAACACGATGTAATTAGGAAAACAACAGGAATGTATATTAATCATTTCTAATAGTAATTTTACTGATCTGATTTTTTTAAGCTCATATACAAGGCAAACTGTTGCTCCTCTTCCTACCTGTATATAGACCCCAGGTCTCAATAGATGTCTCATTTTCTCCAGAATCTCTTTCTGCAGAGCATCCCAGGTCACAGTGCGCTCCATGTACAGTACAAAAGGCAGTCCGAACCTAAAGCAACATAATGTGCAGAGGTTTGTTAGCTGTCATCCATTTCTCCAGGAAGCTTTGAATAACACCAGTAGCCCATTAACCCATTACTACCACGTTTGGGAACTTACAAAAACTAACTGGATATATGCTATAATGATACCCCAGTCTTTATTGTTGTGGAGAACAAGAGAAAAGAACCTGTCATAAGAACAAAAAGTTACCACAGAACATAGAATATTCTGATTGTAGTACCTCTTTCCTTGGTGCCCACTGCAGGCTCTGTTACACACCAGAAGGATAATTTTTTCTGGTCCCAGGTTTTTATTGGGCGATGCAGTTAAAGGAGTCATGGCCCCCTGCATGAAAGACGGCGTCCTGCTGATTTCTGTTCCATACTTCAAGTTGTTATGATTCAGGTTTGCCAGAAGACTTCCTGTGAAAGATAAAAGAAATCTCCATAGATTCCCTTCTATTAATTTAGTGTAAAAAAAAAAAAAAAAAGCTGATGAGTATGAAGTAGGATTTACCTCTTTTTGTGCGTATGTTTTCCAGTTTGAAGGTCTCTGGTGTCTCAAAGGCAAATATGGAATCGCTCTCTTGAATTATGTCAAGATCGTCATCATCATCACAAAATGAACGATGAAAACCATCATAGTACATTTCAGTCAAAACAAACTGAAAGAGAAAAAAAAAAAAAGAGTAAAAAATGTTTTTATCACTAACAGTTCCTTTGAATGTTTTATACCGTTACTGCAAAACTAATACAGGCAACACCATATCACTTCTTATCCTGCTTTAGCCCTCATTGATATTTACTCTTGTGGCATTTTTATCCCGCCAGCTTTAATCATTGTTCACACACAGTTGTTGTTGCAGCCCTAAGGACAACTGTGTTTAAAAACGTCTCTCTCTCTGCAGTCCAATACATAAAAAACCCTGGGTTTATGATAAACTGCTGTTCAGAGGTAGAACTGGCTTTAGGAACAGTGCGCTAACATTGTGTGACTGTAACATAGTCTCACTGTGTCAGACCGTGAGCTGATAAAAAGACAGGAATAGCACCTGGTCCATTGGGATCTTGGTCTCACGTGACACAGCATCTCTGAGGCGATAGACAGTGCTGTTGAGGGGAACAGCAACTCCAACCCTCATACAGTGAGAGTACTTCCCCTGGTAGACCACTGTCACATACAGGGGCCTGGCAAAAACAAGTATATACATAACATACTTTACTATGCAAGTTCTCCCGTTTTAAAGACATTATATTTATTATAAAGTAAAGATGTAAAATCATTTCCCTCCTACTACACATTTTCACAAGTCTATAAGATCCATTTTTCTGTTTTGGTTTGAACCTCCAGTGCACACTCCTCCCACAACTGTTTGTTGCTCCTCTTGCACTCTCAACCCCTCACACACTCCTAATGCACAAGGTTACATTCCTTCTTCTGCAACCATACAGGTTCTCACAAACTTGTCAACACACACAAAAACAAAAAAGCTTTTTTTGAAAACCACATTAAAGATTGTTTTAGCCAGTACATGTTTAGTTTACTTATGTACAAGTGATTAATTATGACTGGTGTACAAGGTTAATGCAGTACATGTTAAAACCTGACAACTGAGAACTGTTGTGATCATGCTGTAACACAGCTCAAGAGAGTAACTCACCGTGTGTGTGGTAATGGGATCGGTAAGGAGATGCAGAGGAAGGGATCAAACGTATTGCTCTGCTTTTGGCAATGTGGGCAGGTGAGAGAAGACCTGTTGAAAAATAAAATCTGTTAATATAACAGAGAGATCATGTGGCCATACTGTGAAAAAAATTTAACTTTTACTGTACATAAGGCCAACCTGTACTGAGCCTGAAACAGTTCCTGTACAAACGACCCAGCAGAAAGAGGAGGAGATGGCCCCTCTATGCTTTGGTCATCTTCTTCAATAGGTGGCTGGACGAACAAACACAGGTCAGGTTAGTCAGATTTAGATTTATGTCATAAATAATACCTGTTTATCAGGATTTATAAGCTCTTGTGAAAGTCTTTATACAGTCTTGACGTTATTGACTAGTTCCTTGGAAATGAGAGGAAACAAGACCAGGCAAGCCTAGTGACAGAATAATTCAAACACCTGTGAGCTTTTCCACACACCAAGGACTGTACGAATGAGCAATAAGGGAATGTTTCGTTATCAATTAAACTGCAGGTCTGTATTTGTGGAACAAATACATTCTGTGTTTTTCAATAAAACACCAAACTATCCCCGTAACAAGCCCCACAATTCACCTTTATTGCCGGCCTGCTGTTGGGGTTGACAGTATTGAGGTCCTCGTGTACTCTGTCCAGCAGCCACAGTAGAAACTCTTGAGCATCGTGCTGAGCATTCCCTTTAAACTGGGTGGCATTCTTTGACACAGCATTCTGCAACAAACAGCGTGTCCCAAAGATCACAATGCATGCAAGGTCAAAATCACAACACCATGTACTGTCAGTCATTAAGTTTCATTAGCTGATCCTAAATATTATTTGTGTGGCAGTGTTGTTGGTCAGTACTGGCATTGTCAGCATGCACTAGCAAAGTAGCAGATAATGAATTTACCTTAAAATCCCTACTATGCTGGGGGGTATACTCAAACGTCCATAAAGCCCGCACAAGTCCTGACAGTTGCTCTGTAACTTCTCCTTTCGCCAGAGGGCCCTTCTTCTGCAGGTGTACACCATTTGTCTTTGGTTTGTCCCCATCCAGCTCATCGTCTTTATAGTGCTCCAAAACCAGGTACTCAGCAAACAGTTCAGTGTTACTGAGGCACTGCAGAATTGCATTCATGAAGCAGGTATTCCCGTGGTTTTTGAGACCAGACACTCCAGGAATTCTGTCTCCAGACAGTAAACTCCCGAGGTCCCCATCATCCATGGGCACATCTTTACTTCCAGGTTTAAACGTGGAAAATCCCCCATCATCTTTGTCATCTTCTGTTTGCACTTCAGAGCCAAAGTGAGATAAGGCTGTCAGGGTCCTCAGGACTCTGCTCATAAAACTGCCCACAGACCGCACAGAGCCTCGCCTGAACAGCTTCTTGCTGAAGCTTGACTTCTTGTCCTTGGTTGCGGCTTTGCAAGACATGATTTCTTCTTTCACAGACGTACAACTCAGACAGATGTGCTGTGAAGAACGAGAGCCACCTCACTGGCTGCTGTCTGCTGCTCCATCTCCAAACATTTAGACAGCAATAACGCAAACTAGTTCACGTTAAAGCTTACGGTGCATGCAGCATTAGGCGTATTAGCTAACCTTAGCTAATGATACCATCTTTAATTGTGGTGTCTTCTGCGGTAGGTGGTTAATTTCACTTAAATAATCTTAGCAAATCGTTCACTACAGCCTTGCCTAAAATACTGGCTACGGCCAATTACGTAATGAGTAAATGATCGGGACACAAACATTGCTCAGGTCGGTTGTTTACGGCTGCAACTTGCTCCAGAGTTACCTTGTTTTGCGGTTTACTGCCCCGCAGAAATGAATCAACATCGGGTTTTGCTGAGAGCGAAGACAGTCGTGTTAGCTAATTTAGCTAACGCTGGCGCTAGCTGCAATAACAACAAGACCAACAGAAACAGCGACAGTCCTTTTCGGCTTTTCGTCCGTGTCGAAAACAAACTGGTAGTCCGCCATGGTATGCAGGTAATGGCAGTTAAAGTACAGAGTGTGTCCGAAATGTGGTTAACCTCACATTTGTCACATACTTGCAGGCACATTCGGGCTAAGCTACCAAATAGCCCAGTCGTTTTACTTCTTCTTCTTCTTCTTCTTCTTGTTTTTCTTCTTGTTTGTGTTGGCAGCTGGTACTCTTGTTTACAACTGCATTACCGCCACCTGCTGGACTGGAAGTAGAGCAGCAGCCTGTTCTTTTTATTGACCGTGTTTAAATATAAAATGTAGACCCCCCTAGCCAGCTATTTTAAATTGTCAACTCAACAATTTAACTGTACAAACTGATAAATAAACAGATGTTCTCTTTTTAACAGCTGCATTGCTTTAAGGAAGGTGATCTGCTGCGCCTGCTCGCCACAATCAGGACAATCTATGAATGTGAATAAGAAAGCCACAAAAATTGTATCAATATAACTGAACTAACCCCCCATGCAAAAAGACTCATATATCTTCTCTTGCTTTCAGGTGCAGATATAGATATTGGGTTGACATCACACCAAAGGCTGTATTGTTAATTATGGTTTTATAAATCGAACATGCCAGTTTTCTGCCTTTGCCATGAATTAGCTGTTAATAGATTACTAAATCTTTATTTATATGCATGTATTTTTTTTTTTATACTTTAAATATTCACATTTGTTGGATGTATGCTGTAGTGCATCTGAAGGTTAACCCAGTATACAAACATTAGTCTGACTCTCCCCATCATTAGTGGAGTTTCTTTCATTTCAATCTGAACTGCAGAAACAGAGTATTAAAATACACCACTGCAAATTCTACACGCGCACTTCTTAGGACCCTTGCTTTTTAATATTGACAGAAGATCTTATGTTTAATTAAATATAGAACAATAGAAGACCATGTATATGTCAAAACAAATTAAAAAATATTAAAAGCATTTAAAAAACGAATAAAATATAAGAATAGAGTCATTGTGTGACTGCTCTTTGTCAGTTCACTATTCTGCCTGAGGGAGGCACAACGAGCACGGGAAGAGAAAAAGCAATAGAAAAAAATGTGTGTATGTGTTGTTTTATGGACATGCTATAGTTATGTGGGTGTGTGTCTCTGTGTGTGTGCAGTTTGTTATGTATAATAAGAGAGGGACATGGGGATAAAGTGTAAAGGCACTACTTCATCTGTGTGTCCAAGTCTTTGCACAATTTAAGTGTGAAACAAAATAATCAGATTATTGCTGCCTTAATGACAGGGTATGTATAATTAAACAAAGTGGACCTGAGAGTGGAAACACTGTTAGTTGTAAGTAGCTATTTAATCAATATGAATCATCCGTTTTCCTTTTCAGGTTAGTGGGTGGAGAAGATAAAGATAGAAGAGAAGAGAAAATACACCCACAAATATCACAAGGACAGTTGGGTTTAATGATGCCTAATGAAGCTAATGTGAAAAAATATACACAAGGAAGAGTTGCGCCATTATGACTCACAATGTAAGTAGTTCAGATGCCTAAATTATACAACATGAGTGTGTTCAAAGTGCTGTTGTTATGCTTGTCACGTCAATAACTACACAGCATTTTTTTGGGGAGATGAGTTCTGATTTTTGAGTGACAATTGTTTGTCAAGAGCTGATTGTTCTCACTGATGGAACAAACTGTATACTGTAAACACTAAGTAACATTGATAGTTTTATAGTGTATTCTGTCAGATATCATTGTGGGACCACTCCCACAGTAACACTGTTTTTATTCTTCCTGCTGTGTGAAAGCTAAGATATTAGTGACAGTGTGTGTGAAACACTCAAGGTACAGTACATACACACTACTCACCACTGGGTGGCTGTACACAAACATCCTGTCTTCTTTTGGTCACAAGTACTGCTGCTTTGAAAGATTTGGAAACAGCGTTATGCTGCTCATCACTGACCTAAATGGGTCAAATTGGAGTGGGTGCATTTTTCTAACCTTACAACAGTCAACAGTTTACATGATCACAGCACCGGAAATGTGTTGCTGCCTCCATTGTCGCAAGTTTGGAATGAGCTGTAATGTGGATGGCAGGATCAGCAGAATGTCGTTCTCTGTATTAATCTGTGATGTGCTGAACACACCACATCAGTGTGCACAAGCTCATTCTGCCACTTACACTTACAAGGCAAAATGGTTGGAGCAAAATACCTTTAAATACCAAAGCATATGTGGAGATTTCTATTCCCAGGGCATCCCCTCGGTTGAGCATTCATCGGGGGTTGCCCTTTTTCTAGGTTAGAGCAACAGCCCTTCAAAATGTCGGCGCTCATCTCCGCATCAAATACAAGTTTCTGTATGCAATACACCTCTCTTCTCTACAGAATAGCACTGGTATGACTCAAATGTACTGGAGAGGAGAAAAAGAAAAGAAGACTGACTTGCATCTCCATCTCAAGTTGCAGCAGTACGACTAATGAATACAGTAAGTGTCTGAATGACCTTTGAATGACTCAGAAAATTGAAGACATGAGTGTGATTTGAAGGTAAGATAGTGCAGTGGCTTGACACTGATTGGCACTGCATTCTTCATGCTGCTTAAGTCCATCAAAGTAGTTATAACTAATTTATATGAAATTGAAGAAGTAACAGTACAGAAAATAAGCACACTCATGAAGTAAACAAGTAAACATAAAAAGCATTCATTTCCAGTGTACTGTAATGGTTCCATTATGTGACAGCTGTAGGACTTTAATCAGACTAAGTGTTTGACTTGAAAGTCGGTTTTCCTTTTGTCTTGCTCCTAACTAAATTCTTCACTTGTTGTTTGCCATCGACACTTCAAGCAGTCGGGCCAGCTGGGGAAGTTCTCTAATGATGTGTCCAATGATGTGTCCATGGAAACAAGGCAAAGGGTCACATGTGTCTTATCACTCAACACAGGAAAAACATTCTGTTCAAATTTGAATTGAATTGATTCTGAAATTATGTCAAAACACATCAAAATCAGAGATGAGTCTCACTTTTTCTTTTCCCTCATTAGAGTATTAGAGAAGGTCTGATGTTATTCTCTAGAGTCAAGCTTTATTCTTCTTGTTGGTCTGTGTCTGTGTTATTCCCCGCTTATTCACAGCTCAGGAGGCACTCACAATCAGTAATAAGAGAAAATCCCCTTATTTGTTAAACATGCATTGGGTGAGAAAATACCTTTGAGCTGAAAACAGTGGATGGACCACTGAACTGCAGCTATTATCTTTTTGAATGCTCAAGTGCTTGCCCAACGTACAGCTGAAGTGTTGGGTTATTGCTTTGTCTTTGAATGTGAGGTGGCTCCAAAATGGTTTGGAGTCTTGAGCTTGCGCCAGGGATTTGCAATACCACGCTACATTATCTCTAAAACAGATCAGATTTGCTGTTACCTGCGGCGTTATAAACTAATTTTAGTCTTAGTAATTGATTTTTCACATGACACAATAAAAGCTTTAAAATTGGCTCTTATATAGATTATTGTAGGTAAACAGTGATAAGGTTACTCCCTTATCGTTGATAAGCTTTGACTTTGTTGATGCTGATGAAGGGTTCCATTCGTGAATTGTCAGTCCTGCACGGTGAGATGGTGTCTGACTGCAGCTTCTGTTATAATGGCCATGTGTGAAATAATTTCTATGCTTAGAGAAAGGCACCTCTCCCTACAAGCATATAATTAGTGTTCCTGTGCCTATTTAAAGCATTTGTGCACATGCCTTCCGTTCATGTGTCTTAATGTGCAAACAGACGAGTGAGAAAACGCTGGATGTGTCCTCTGATACAGGAGCTTCATAGTGCTCTTCATTATCTGCTCAACCTTATTTGCATGTGCTGTAAATATTACTAAGTGAGACTGCCAATCGACGAAGCACTGACACAGAATTGTTAAAACAGGTGTCAGTGCCAGGAGTCAATTCAAATAACATGAAGGAAATTGTGTTTATATTCATTATACATTAATCCCACGCTTAATCCACTATTAATCAGCAGGAAATGTAATACTGCACATCTCCAGTGGCTAATGTAATTATGGGGAGGTTTTTAAGAAATCTCATATTTGGTAGAATTTTAAGCCATCTATCATATTGGGTTGCCATGGCAGGCTCAGTGCTGTACTAACATAATGGTGGACAAACAACTGGCTTTAGGGCAGTGACTCTTATTCCTCATGGTGCATTTATTTTTTAATGGAAACCCACATACAAGGGTATTACAGTTGTTTTAGTGGCAGCTACATGTGTCCGCTGTATAGTGTAGTAGAATATATTTGTGTCATTTTGAATGTTTTGTTTGTATAAATAAATAAAGCAGACTAAATAGGCTATAAGGAAAATTAAAACAAAAAATAGAGCCAGCGTTTACCCTTCTTCAGTTGTTAATAAGAAGTCATTATTTCATAGGCAAATCTATGATTTAGCCTACAAATTGACACACTATGAAAAAATTGGATTTTTCTTTATTTTTCCGTTCACTGAGACCTACTGCACACATGTGGAGCCTGCGGTGGCTTCTTGTACTCCTGAGAACCCTTTAAGGTTCGTTTAGATGTAACCAAATTAAAGCAGTGGAAGAGCTCATTAGGCAGAACAAAGTAAAAGTACGTGGATCCCAGTCTGATTGACAGCTGAACCTGCTCCCCTCCGTCGCTGAGAGGATTTTTCTCGGCGACATCCCTCAGCAACAGTCAAATGATGCCTTCAGGTGCACACCGTAAACTCCTACTTTTCATTTCATTCAAGCGTCTGTGGTTAGAACTGATCTGTAAAGAGTAACCCAGGCATGGACAGTTGAAATAACAGTAGTTAATCAAGAACATCTGAAACTTTTCTACAAAATAGAAGATGTTTATCTTTTTAAGCTGACAGTATCATGTTACATATAGCTAATGCAAGGAATAACACCACAATGTCACTTTGCAGATGCTATTGCATTATTAGTTCAAGTGCAACTCCAGTTGTGAGTACATGTGCTGTTATTAATTGTGTAAAACGTAATAATAGACATAGTGTCATTTGATTGTGTGTGATACTTTAAATTAGGACCCATGGCACAAACTCAAGCATGAACAGATTGTCTTATCTTATCATATGTAATCTTAATGGAATTCCAGCATGACTGGACATGATGATGAGGATGATTTTGCATATAGACTCTTAACTCTTATTGAGAAATATAAATAAAGTTGATGTCTGTGCTCCATAACAAATGCAGTTTCACATTTATATCATCCCCCTGGTTGCCCCTATATTACAAATAAATGCAACATAAGTGCCCTCTTGGATGCCCCAATACATAAGTAGATAAAACGTGTTTTCTACTGCTTGTGTCCCTCCTCATGGAGCTGTTGCTCAAGTGTAAAACAGCAAAAAGTGTAAAACAGCAACAGGTAGGCTACACACAAATACACAAATCAGTTGTTCCCACATCTCCACCCACATCATTTCAGAACTAATTTTTTTCTTCAATACAATTAAATGAAATTTTAAAAAAAATCACAATATCTCCAGTTGCATTGCGCCTCAACCATCTTTGTGTCGTGCGGTCAACGCGTAATGGCGATATTTCCGACATTAGTCGAGGGCAGGGAAGTGTCGCTGCACTTCCTATGGCCATATTTGGGTGAGCATCGGTGGAGCGTGAGCCCAGGAAAGCATTTCGAAGGACCAAAATGAGCTTTTGTCTGCCGTCTATCACCAGAAAAATATCCAAACGTTGTTTTCACCTAAGTTGACTGCGTCACGCTCGCAGAGGAAGCGGCGTCCTGCAGCAGAGAGACAGCTTTGATTCACGGGAACTCTGACACGCGCAGCAGCAAAAACATTTCACACTGGAAAACTGTCAGCAGACACAGGTAAACTGGATTTTTATCATTTAACGGAATGAAAAAAAATGACCTCTTTGGTTTAGAATAATTAAAGTAAAAAATGTGCCTCAGCTTTACAGATTCATACTGTCGTTATTAAGGAGGACGGTTTATTGGCACCTGTTGATCTGAATTTTCTTGTAGTTGGACATCATTTTAAATGAGCCTTTTTTTCCATGGAGGATAAAGTTCTGTTTATGCTCAGTTAATGTTAATGTATGAATGAATATGTGAACGAGACTTATAACTCATCAATAAGACCTGCTCCACTTTTTTTGTGAGAGGAAACATCATAAATGCTTTACTATGTCTGCCATATGGCCAAAAGTTTCCCTTCTGCTCATTATAAAGATCTTAAACACAATACAACCTGATCACTTGCTCAACTTGTCTCTGTGTGGAACCAGATTCAGGCGGCTTCTGGAAATCCATTTCAGTAAAATGTTGCATAATGTTGGATTCACCTAAACTTGACAGGTGGATAACATGCATGGTTTCATGAGGTTTATTTATTGTTCTACCTTTTTTTTTTTTTTTTTGTAAATGTTCTCCTGTTATGTAACCTAATGAAAGCTAGAAACGCCCCACACCCATCAAGAATCAACACACACACACACACACACATAGGTGCAGAGCAGCACCACATCAGATGGAGATAAAGCATACATTTGGCATTGAGGACATGATATTCTACTCATGAACAATGGTTACAAACACCTTGAATGCACTTTTTGAAACATCTTGTGTTAGAAGATGTGCTTAATTCTGCCTTTAAAGAATGACAGTTGTATCTGTCAAGAGAATAAAGGCAGATTTAGACCTCTGGATCTTGATGTGATTTTAACCCCTTCAGCACCATGCTGAGCTTCATACTGTGTATAAATCAATCTTGTGCTTTGGGGATGTTTGTGAAGTGAGCGCTCTCTCTCTCTCTCTTTCTCGTTTTCACACATATACACAATTATCTTTTTCCCTAGTGACAGCAACAGCAATTTTGAGCGTGTAATTTACCTGTGCTTTTAATACTGACAATAATTAAATGTGTAGCAGATTAAAAGGGTAATAAAAAGGAACTATGTTTCATTATTCAACAAGTGCATGAAACTGCAGTCTAATAGAAAAGAAGCTCTGGTTGTTGTGGGCAGAATTGATGTGTCTCTCCTCATCTTTTCTTAAGAAGCTGCCTGCTGCAGGTCATAACTCCACTTTGGACTAATCATTATGAGTCCATTAGTCATTAATTAATCATTACCTCTTATTATTATACAGTATATAGGTGGTCATTACTCAAAAACCTGTCTGTAAAAAAGCAGCTTCCCCAGTGTTTTCCTTTTGCCACTCATTCACAGCCATCATTAAAAGGTTATGGTAATGTCGTACAAAGATAGTATTCAGTTGTTCTGTTCGGAAGTATACGCCATTAATTGTAGCGTGTGTGTGTGAGCAATTGTATGACTTCAGAGCATCAGTTGTATTGTAGCACAGTGTCTATGCAGATTGATATTTTTTGAGTAAACTATGGAGGTGGCATTATTGCCTCTGCATAAAGACTCAATGGCTGCTATATTTGACAGCAGTGTTACTGCTGGAGTGAGTGTTTTCAGGGTGACAAAGGGTGTATTATCTGTGCTATAATAAGCAAGGATTTGTACCATTGTTTAAGTTTTATATTTTGTCTGTGGCTGTCAGTAATTTCTGCTGCCTGGCTGGGGTGCAGACGCCCTTTACCAAAGCTCACAACCGCCAATTCCTGGGATTTTCTCCGGCAATCAATTTCCAAGCCGAAGTGCCTGTCATGTGCCCTGACAACACAGACACTGGGAGCTTTTGGGAATAGATGGCTAGATTCACTGGTTTTTTGGGGGGGCTAGAGCTGGCTGGATTATAGATTATGTGTTATCTACAGGTGCATACAGTATAGATCACACTGATGTCTACACATTTACACATCCAATCCATTGGAAAGCTTGTTAAAGGACTGACAGCTTGATCAAATATATGTATGTCCCTGAGGGCAAGTCACATAATAACATTGATACCCCATGATGATCTTGGTTTCTGTCTAAAGGGTTATAAGGATGCTTTTAACAGCAGAAACACTCCAGAATAATCTACTTACAGTTATGATATGAATGTATATACCCTCAGGCTGATGTGGTTAAATTAATTGAAAAAGGAACGCAAAGGTTAAAACGGGCACATCTTGTTTGATTCAATTACACAAACTGTCAGCGTCACCATCAAAGGAGACGGTTAATATTTCCCTTTCATTTTTGTGACTCAGGAGGAATGTAATGAATTAAATGCATGCCCCTAATTGCATTGATTGAAAGACAAAGAAATGTAGAAAACCATAATCCTCCTCCCCCTCTCCCTCTCCCTGTTTCCCCCATTTGAAAGACTCAACAACACTCTAAAGGGGAAAGCTTTCACACTCAAACACACACGTGGAGAAGTGCTCAACAACAAAAGACTAATGACTTAGAAAAACCACACAAAGGCTAATCTTGAGGTGTCTGAGGCGGCTAATGACCGACTGGAGCAGAACACATTGAAAAGCTTGTTTCTTTATTGACCCCCTACAGTATCTCTTGCTGCCATTTGTCTGATGTACACGATGCAAACACGGAAACGGGAACGGAATGCGAAGAAAGAACAAAAGTTAAGATGTACAATGTCACATTGAAGTATAATCCATGATTAAATTGGCACATTGACAGGTTGAGATCCTATACGAGGGAGGCAGTGTTTTATTTGCCCCTGGATTATAGCTGTTTTATATATTTGTCTGTGCTAGTTTAGTTCACAAGATTGTGGCCTGTGGTGACTGCTCTAAGTATCAGTATGAACTGTCTGTATATAATTCTGTCCATGTTTGGCTGCGTTAAGGTGAACACATTTTAACATCAAGGGTCTTTTTTTCAGCCTTTGTAGAATTCCATTTACCTGTATTTACCAGCTCCTTTTCCTCTGCTGTTACCATAGAGACACTGCATCCCTATCAGCAAGGCGCCTTTGGCTGCCGGGCTCATTGGCTTTCTCAGGAGAGAGACACTGGTGAGCAAGTGTTTCCCTGGCACGACTTCGGCACCAATGTAGCGAGAAAGGCATTTACTTGGCTTTGACAGTGTTTCCTTGGCAGCCAGTGCCCCACCGTCGGTGGCACGTCGACCCGTTTTGTCACTATGGGTTGACGGCTGAGACAGAGTGAAATCCAGTTGGGAGAGATCCACTCCCGTAATTGAAATGAGTTCACCTGGGAGACAGCTGCTCTGCGGTGCCTGTTAGCTGTCAACAGTCCATGCCTACCAGCCTTCAGTAGTGGATGTGATGTGATGCCTGAGCAGGTTTTCTTTGTCTATGACACCACAGTTTAAAGTTGGAAATTTTTTTTTTCCTGTTTACCACAGTGAGGAAACATGCTTCAGGTATTTCAGCTATGCTGCCTTTTAAAGAGGTCATGATGAGAGAATAACACTGTTGTCTCCAAGTAAGTCGAGCATAAAGCAGCAAACACTTTCTCACTTTCCAAAGCTGTAGCCTCTCACTGATGTTCAGTGAGAAAATGCACATAAATGCAGCGTTGTGTTAGCAGTCAAAGTGGAGGGCTGAGAAATTGGGACTTTCTGATACGCATGAAGAAATATAATATTTAAATAGAACATATTCAGCATAATATCCTACATAGTGATGATACGTACATAGACTCAACAGAGGTGGAACTTCCTGTTAGACCTCTTATGAAGAGTTAACGTCAATAACACAAACCCAAATAGATCAGCATCAGTCACAGATATACATCCATCATATTTAGCCATGTTTTACAGCTATGGTTTTTCATTTATATTCTCATAAAATGAGTTAAAGTCAGGAAGCATTAGGCTGCTGAAACAATATTTAGTGTGTTTTTTAAGCTGTTAAAGGCCCCTAGGGTTGACAGACTTACAATCTGCAATCAAACAGGTAATGAGTGCCAACCTAACCTCTCATTTCAGTGGCAGTAATAGTAAAAACTTTTGCAGTTTACCCTGCTGTTTCTTATCCTTGTGGATAAATAGTATCTAAACTTAGCCCTCATATTTATGACATGTTTCCAGTGCAGCTACAATGGAGATTGACAGCGGAAAGTATCAACAACTCAGAGATTCAGTCAGATGCTAAGACCAAGAGCGTTCTCGAGACTTTTAGCAGTGACATTTGAAGAGCACACAAGAATAAATCCATCACACGAGAGGCAGCCACTCACTTCAATAGATCTTAATGCAATACCACAAGACATGTTGACAACTAGTTGACTGGCTGAATGTTTACATTTGATTGAAGAACAACCTTATAGCTACCATTTTGGAAAATCTCTTGAGTAAACTCCTTAAGCACATTGAAAATTACACTTGATGATATCTGACAGAGAGCGAGTATCGACACTTCAGTCTAATAGAGGAAAGTGCGGATACTCTAAGTGGATAACAGGTGTCAGCCTCCCGGATCGATAGCATACTGTCCTTTGGCTCAGCCAATGATGCAACTCGTACCGTGAATTTCTGGCTTGCTCCAAGCTGGAAAGCCGACTGCACGCTGCTGGCCTGGAGCACTGATTGAGCAGTCACACAGGCAAATATGTTTCATTTTCTGGATCCATTTGATGTCAGCACTGCAATTCAAAACAGGCGATTTTCTGCAGTGCCATCCAAAAAAATTAAAAACAAAATCAACATTGCTTGTAAAATGGGCACATCAGCTCAGAATCTCTGTCCACAAGCACACTGAGCTAATTGTCTTCTATTACAGTTTGTTAATAACAGTGACTATTGTGTCTTTTGCCAGCTGGAGAATCAGAACAAGCTCCCAGCCCACGGTTCATTGCTTCTTTTTCACAAGTATGTACGGGCATTGGCTGTCAACTGTTGAAAAGAGTGTCTGACTGTCTGAGTCTGTCTGACTGTCTTCTGAAACAACTTCTCCATCAATCAAACCATCTCTCTTGTGTCCCTGTCATTCCTCTTTTTTTGAGTGCTCTGTCTCTTCTCTGTTCATCGGCACGCTGACTTTTGGAGGCTCACAAAAGACTCACAGTCATCCAGGTGGAGCCAGTCCCATTAAAAACACCTTGCATCACAGTTTAAATTCTATAAATTGGACGAGAGGGGACAAAAGTGATTGGATGCTATTAATGAGTCTCTTTCATTTGACAGTCAGCTTCACTCTCTTCCTCAGTTGCCAGGCAGATGTGCAAGCATCCTTGAGTGTTTTGCTGGAACAACTACTGACATTTATGTGATGCAATCACATCATTTTTATGCTTTTTCTCCTTGAAATGAATAAATGAAACATAGCCTGCACTGTAAACAGCCTCGTTGGCACAGAGGCTTGAAATGTTGTGTTGTACTTGAAAAATGTGGCAGCTAATAAATGTATTCTGTTCCTGTGAGGGTTTAGTGAAAAACTTCAATATTGGACCACAGGTATTTATAGATGCCCAACCTTCTGTCGAGATTAAAGGGATTAACTTCTAATAAAGGGTAGATATACTGCAGACACATAATGAAGTGCAGTGTCTGACTTTTGACAAAAAAAAGGTCATAGTGGGGCATTACACTTTTTTTTCAATTCTATGGCCCTTGAGAATACAGTATATTTCTATTAAACCTTTTTTATGTTACACAGAGCAGTTTATACTTTAGCTTCCTGTGCCCACAGACTCAGACTGCAGACTCGGCTTCGGTCATAGTTAATAGACTAAATTGAAAAGCAATTGATGTTGCTATTGCAAAGAAACTGTAAAGTTTGCTTACTAAACGTTTTCTTTATAACTTTTTTCTTTGTCCCTTTGGTTGAGGAAAATGCAGACATCAACAATTTCATTAAATAGCCCTGAACAGAAAAGTTTATTTTATTCCTTAGCTCTTCCTCTGTGGGGAGCACTGGCAGTGCACAATATGTTACGAGGTCATATAATTCAGTTATAGTTTAAAGACACCATGAAGCCAAAATGAGAATTTAGTTTATGGCACTCTGTCTCAGGGAATTGCTTAGCAACACAGTGCCAATCTCTCTAAGGTCGCCACACCTCATTTTTCTAAATTCATATTTCACTCACAATAACCAGAGTAAAATTTTTTCTACAGATGCTTAGATAACAGTCCTGCTTCTGTTAAAGTATGATTTTATGTAAGGTTTATTTATTGAATATTATGCCTCTGTTCCTATTTATACCTTTCCATTGTAATATTATATTTAGGTCGGTTAATGAAAACAACAACAACAACAATAACAAAAAAATCTATCCATTTTTTAAAATGGATTGATTTTCTTTGCCAAGGGTCAGACAACATTGTTATTATATGTTGTTATATATGAAGCTATAACCAGCAGCTGGCTAACTTGGCTTAACATAAAGACTGGAGACAGGTGGAAAGACTCACTGTTTGAAACTCTTGTGCATCGCCAGCTTCTCAGTGTCTCTGTGCCACTAGATGTTACTATTACTGAAAAATGTGTATTGTTTTGCACAAAGAGGATGAAATTGTAAATTATTCTATTATTCAGTTTAATTGTAGGTTATGTTACTTTTGTTGTGCAGAGGTTTTTACTGAATATGCTTCTTATTAAACCACCAGTGTTTTTTTTTATTATTAGACTACCTCTCTGTAAACTTTCAAATTGGTCCAACAACTCTGCAAGCCCAGAGTACAGCACTCTTTTCCTACAAACTCTGTTTTTGACCCTCAGTAAAACTCTTAATATTCTATAAATGTTTGTTTGACTGAGCTGTTTTTTTATATTCTGGGTGCAACTATTAGATTCTCTTATAGTTTTAACCATGCAGATGTTGAGACATTCAGGAAACATTTGCTAAACATTGCTTTTACTTAGCTCTATTTTCTTGCCATTTTGTTTTAGTGGTACAACAGATTATGTTTCTGTTATGGGGCACTTTTGGCTCTGCAAGGCTTCTTCATTTGCATATTTTGTACAAAGTGTGGTCCCAAAAAAGAAGGCTGATTTGACGCTGAACTGACCATGCTCAAAGGTGGGAGATAAATTTAACACCCTGTGGCACCAGTCAGGCTAAGACAGAAATAGAACACACCTTCAGCTGAGGAAGAGTATAATTATGTTAAAAGAGCAAGGGGTGGGGGGTGATTATGCAGCTGATTAGACCAAAAGAATCCCCTGAAACAACAGGTATATAAATATGATCCTACAGCTGAAATTAAATGTATTTTGACTCACTTCCCCAAACGCTGTACATCAGGGTTCTGATGTTTGCTCTTTGTGTCTGCTCTGGCAGTGAAAGATCATGACAACGCTGCTGGACCTGAAGAGTAGTGTGCTGAGGCAGGTGCAGAGGAGCCAGTCGCTGAGGAGCCGAAGGGAGCCACCGCCAACCGCCAGCAGCCCCCTCACACACTGTCCTGACCCCTTACCTCGCAGGTGAGTCACCGATGTACACACAGACACACTTAAAGTACTATAGCTGGATTCCGGTCATTATGAAGGTTTTTCACGGATGTGGCATTTGGGACACTTGGTGCTGTTTCGTTTAAGATCTCCTGGAGTTTCTTTTGTGACTGTTTTTACACTGCTGTCATTCAGAGTGTCTTTTGATATTAAAAGTAAGGTTGTGATGCACGCTCTGATTTTTCTTAAAGATTACCTACTGCATTATTGTCAGAGACACCTTGCTTGAGTTTAAGCAAGAGGCACTATTTGTAGATACATAGTTTCTAGCTAAAGTTAATATTTGTTTGATCGTTGCTGTTAAGAACAACTAATAGCTTGGATAATGAGAGTCTTTTTATAGGAAATTTGAACTGCAGTCAGCGTAGCTCATAAAGATAATGACATGCCTTTTGAAAACACCCGCACAAACTCATAAGCAATAATTCATGTCTGTTATTCATTTGTTTTCCACTAGCCGTCCAGCTGATGCCACAGGTCATCATTTCTTGTCAACAGAGTGTTTTAATGCGGTTGGCATTTATTCCAGAGTTGTTACTTGCTGTGAGCGGGCCGTGCACAAGCTGCCTCTCCCCCAAGGACACATCAACCACACTATTACATGCACAGTCAGGCTCTGACTGGAATCACAAATGCTGCTTTCTTGTATATTAGTTTATACCACTTGGTTCTGATGTCCATGTGTTTTCTTTAACATATGAGTGCACCCTATACTAGCACACTGCTGTTTTTACATAAGTATTAAAGACATCTGGCTGTATCATAAATCAGGAGAGCATATCACCTTATGTTTTAGTTTATGGATGTTTTTGTTTTGTGTGTAAGTTCATTATAAGTTACATATACATTTGTTTAGATTTACAAAATAACATTTTCAGCCTGGAAGAGATCTTTCCGATCAGGAATTATTTATTTATATGCTAATTATAGCAGGAATTAATAAAGAAACCACTTTTGCTATAAGCCTAACTTTTTTCCTGATTAAAGACAAAAATTAGGCTTCCCCACTTAATATATCGTAGATGTTCCATATGTGAACAGCCAACAATAGAAAACTAAATGGATTACATTTTTTATATTACTGAGATGGCACGTTTGACTACAGTTTAAACAATTAGTCAATTATTCAATTAGTCAATTAAAAATAAATGAATCTATTTGGATAATCAATTAATTGTTTCAAGTCCCTTTTCAAGAGAAAATGTCAAATATTTGGCTGCTGCAACTTCCAATCCTCCAATATGAGGATTTGCTGCTTTTCCTCATCTTAAATTAGAGTAAATTGAATATCTAGGTTTTGGACTGTTGGTTGGACAAAAGAAGCAATCTGAAGATGTTACCTTGGAAATTGCGAGTTTGTGATGGTTATTATTTTCTGACATTTTATGGACAATTAATCAATGAATCAAGAAACATTGGACAAAGCCACTTTTTCATCTTACGAACATGCCATCCAGATAGTAAAATAGATCTCAGCTGGGCATATGAAGATGTGCGTCTTGCAGTAGATAAAAAAAAACATAATTCTCTTTATTATATTTGTATTTTAGTATCATAAATGTTGTGATTTACTCATGATGTTACTCATAACAGACACCACTTGTCTTATATAAACATAGTTATTATAGAAAATACCACAGGAAACCTTTATTTGTAAATAACTGCTCACAACGACCAACTTATTTATGTGGTAATTTGTTATTAATTATTATGTGTTTTGTGTATTTGTACATAATACATGTATGTTTGCATTTATGTATTTGTATTTATGTCCATATTCTGTATACTGTATGCATGTATGTGTGTATGTGCTCATGTGTGTATATGTAGATCTGTATATGTGTATGCTATATGTACTTTATGTATGTATTCTTATTTTTTGTTCTTCAATTCCTTTTTATTTTTCTGTTATACTTTTTAGTTTATACGCTGTTGTACTCTTATAATGTTGTGTAATGGGTTAATGAATGTCATGTGTAACTATTAGCTGGACAGCGCTGTGTTCTTGAGGGCATGGAGAATAAACAGGATCTTAGTGGGTTTTATACCTTGGCCTTGATCTCTCCAATGGTTTATTCCTTTTTTTATATTGAATGTTTTTCCTCTCCTGCTTCTTAGCAACAAATAAAGTGGCACAGGTAATATCATCATATTTTTTTCAGTCCTGTTTTGGAGCTTCATCTGAAGCCAAAAGTAATAGTATGAACCTGAGGTTTCTATAGCAACCTAAACACAGGCTGCTGCCACGATGTGAACTTATACTTGTAATGACGACCGTGTCTATTTTTAACGTGGAAGATAACCCCAGATGCCTGTTAAACACTGATCAATTTTGGATTTGAAAGACTAATACTAGACCTACAAGAGGATTTTTTTGGCCCATTTGTCATGTATGTTTTATTTAATGCATATTATTGATTCTGTGTTGGTATGTTTGATCAAATTAGCATTTTTAATTATATATTTTATATTTTAATTATTTTAGCACAGTTTATTTTAAAATGTGCTCCAGTAGGACCATATTCATGTTCTTCATTAAAGACTGATTTGAACTGTCAGTATCTCACCTCTATCTCATTTCCCATGCCTGCTCCCTGGTGCTAAACCTTCCCACTGAGCCTCAGCCGTGCACATACCCAGAGTGCTCATCATTAGGCAGGCTACTGATCTTTGTTATCCATTCAGACTGCTGCTGCCCCGCCTGCACTCTCACTTTAATTGAGAATTTGCAAATGAGGCCGGGTGGATTTGTACTGGTCCGTACACAGTTGTTGACCCAGTAGTACAGTCATCCGTCAGACCTGAACTCTCAGAGCAGCGAGTGGCACGTTGGAGGTGAACTTTTTAATTCCATTGAGCAAATTATGTTTTTACCTCTAGGTGAGCTGGTTGTTAAGCCTGTGGAAATACACAGAGACAATGTCAGAGATGAGCTTGATTGGGCATTATACACCAATAAAAAACCCACATGGATTTGTTATATTTATATTTTGGTTTAATATTGTTTACTTATCTCACTGCACACTTCCATCTCTATCAGTAGCGGTTGACTTCACTGTGTTTTGAATCGGGAGCTCTCTGCAGTGTCGTTAAAGTATTTAACTCCTCAGTGTCACTGTATTGAGCTCATTTTTTTAATTAATGCAGAACAACACAATCATATTACAATGAAAATAAACAAAGACCGCTAATGTGTATGCAGTTATAGTAATTAATGACAGACATACATTTAAAGGATAAGGTTGGTGTAATTCTCTACTTTTTTATTGTCAGTTAATTCCGTAAAACCACCAAAACCAACAATATGTTTTTCTGTCATTCAGTATTCCTGATCTCCCCATTCTGCCATTCTGCCTGTGGCACCAAATCCATTTGTTCCGACTGAAGTTGTCTTTTTTTTCTTTAATAAGTGATGTATAATTTCATCAAGGACCAGTGTGTTGGATTGAGTGGCATCTAGCAGGGAAGTGCAGATTGCCATCTTCTGAATACAGTTCAGCCTTCCAAGCACATAGGAGAAACTACAGTGGTCGCAAAAAGGAAGAGGACCCACTTACTCTGCAGATATAAAACAGCTCATTCTAAGGTCACAAAAACACAACAATTCTTATTTGATGATTATTCACTCATGAAAACATACCTATGAATATTATTCCATGTCTGCCAATATATCCTCCTAAATATTAATGGACCTTTAAAAAGGCTCAGTAAATTTCTAAAACAAATGGCCACTGTAGTTTAACATTACGTCACAGATCAATACACATTTGGTGCTCTTGTCTTTTTGGCTTTTGACCCCTCAAAATGAAGCAGTGTACTTCCAGTGTACAACCCATCATCACAGAGTTTCACCAAAGTTGGATTTTCTGGCAGAAACGGAATATAATCTTCAAAGGGATGTTTTGTTTTTGTGACCTTAGAATGAATCTTTTATACCAATCAACCAGAACATTATGACCACTGACTAATTAAATGAATAACACTCAAATGAATAATCTCGTTATCATGGCACCTGTCAGTGGGTGGGATATATTAGGCAGCAAGTGAGCATTTTGTCCTCAAAGTTGATGTGTTAGCAGCAGGAAAAAGGGGCAGCGAGAGGATTTGAGCAACTCTGACAAGGGCCAAATTGTGATGGCTAGACGACAGCATCTCCAAGACTGCAGCTCTTGTGGGGTGTTCCCCTGTCTGCAGTGGTCAGTACCTATCAAAAGTGGTCCAAGGAAGAAAAAGTGGTGAACTGGCGACTGGGTCATGGGGGGCCAAGGCCCGTTGATACACGTGAGGAGAGAAGGCTGGCCCGTGTGATCCGATCCAACAGACGAGCTACTGTTAAAGCTGGTTCTGATAGAAAGGTGTTAGAACACACAGTGTATCACAGTTTGTTGTGTATGGGGCTGAATAACATTACGACCACCAGGGTGCCCAAGTGGTTGTAATGTTATTGCGTCTGTTTCTACAGTACCCCAAATTTAACCGAGCTCTAGAGACAGCCTTTCGGGGTTCGGGGATGTGTGTAAACTTAGTGCCCCTGTTCACTGTAATGAAGGAACATGTGGTCCAGTGCAACAGTGTGGCTTATTCATGTGTTTTTAATAGTTTCTGGGCAATAATGGAGCTCTATACCACAGAAGAATGAACTATATCAGACTCCAACTACACAGACAATACTTACAGGATCAGTTCATTCAGGATGATTTTGTTCTTTTCATTGGATTTGTTGCCAATAAGAAAAATATATAATCAGTTTAGACAGATAACCCCTAACACACACAGTCATGGTCATCAATGACAGACATACTATATATTTTATACCTAAGGAAGGAATACCCACTATACTGGTGTAACTTGTATACTGGTATGCTATCAGTACTACTGTTCTGCCTGTCAGTAGTTCTAGCGGGGAAACTCATCATATCTCCAGTCTTTTCACCTGTAATGTTTTGTTGCTTAATTAAGTGTGTAATTAGAGTAAAACAAACAGTCTTCTGTGTAGTATTGAAGGGGGGGTGCTTGTTGTAGTGATCCTCGGCTGTGATAGGAGCCGCAGGCTGATATTAGGCACTGACAACTGTGATGAATTCGATTAAAAAAATCATCTTATTTTATTAGAATGCATACAGACGTCAGAGTGTCTTTCATGCTGCAGACAACAGTGATGTCGGCACTATTAATTACTATGTATGCGCTGCCATATTGTATTGAAGTTTGAAGTGGGGGTTGCTGTCACCTGTCACACTCCCAATTAGCCACGTTTAAACACATATTCTCGCACATAAAAGAAGTTCTGACGTAGTCATGTTTTTATTTATGTTTTCCTTCTGATTTACTCTCCAGACAGAACACATAATTGAATGAATTCTGAAAATAAATTAGAATAAAATGATTGTTAAAAAAGGACCTGTTTCCTAGCAACATCAAATCAGTTTGTTATTCGGGTGGTGTGTGTGTGTGTGTGTGTGTGTGTGTGTGTGTTAGAGAGAGAGAGAGAGAGAGAGAGAGAGAGAGAGAGAGAGAGACAGAGAGGTTGAAAAATATCTGCATCATTTATTTTTTTAAGATGTCTCAAATCAGAATTTACTTGATTTGCATCATTTGGGCATTATTTCTGCTTATAAACACGTCGTCCAAAAGCTTGAAACAAAAGATCTCAGACTGTCTGGACAAATCCTCAAGCTGCTTAACTGACAGATGATGGGACAGATTTCTGGATACGAGAATGCCCTAGACGACTGAAGATGGATGTGGAGAGAGAATTGAGTGTCTCACAAGTATTACAGTCAAATGAAGCCTATTTGTGCTAATTGTTTGTGGAGTCATGCACATATTGTAGACTCGATTTGTGGTTTCAAGCTTTCAAACACTGAGTGAGGGGTTTTCAGATAAGAATAACAACTCAGTTTTTGATCAGTATCTGAGAAAATCAACAAACACACCAGTGATGCTGAAAAACTAAATCAGCATCAGAAAAACGTTGTTTACATTTATCCCAGGAGGGAAGGTTTTTGTTCAAGGTGCTCACACAATGTTAAAGAATAGAAATAACACTTAATATGAAATAGTTGTATATAGTATATATAGGTATATAAATATAAGTAAATAAATAAAATGGAAATAGAAATATAGTAAGAGCCTATGTACCTTATAGTGATAATAGTATACATACAATATATGCTAATATATACAAAGTAATGTATGCCACAGTATGTGACCCACAGAAATGAAATGGGTAATAGTAGTTCATTTTTAAAGTCATTTTAAAGTTATTTATAATTTCTGCAATACCACAATTGTATGCAAAATAGTTTTAATTGAATAGTTGTATGCTAACAAATTAAAGGTTCAACTCTATTATGAAAACACAGGAACTACCAAGTAGGTTTTTTTATTTTGAAATTCTTAAAAGTAAATATTTCAAGCATCTAAAAAAATAATATTTGCTATTATTATGTGTTCACTAACTTACTTTGGGGTTTTGGCGGTTGGTCGGACAAAACAAGCAATCAGAATTATGTCAACTTAGGCTTTGTGAAGTAATAATGATGGTGTGAATGATGGTGTGATGGTTTAAATGTTGTGTGGTATGATTTTTACTAAAAAGAGGACCTTTGTTGAAGAATACAATGTTTTTTACAGCTAGTCTGACTTTGAAAAAAATATTTCACCCATTTTAACTGAATCCACCTTTCAAGTTTTACTGGGTTTGAAGCCAGTGGAAACCTGACCAACTCTCCCAGCATGGCTGCCATTAGTCCTCATCAATACCTCAGGGATTTGCCATCCGCTCCCCCACCATGGTGAGAATCAGTGGGGGCTGGGATGGGCTGCCACACCCCTGTTGTGATGCGATGACGTTAATAAAGAAGCGTGACGGGGCCTCTGTGGACGGCTCTTCTGTATAATGTGCCGGGTATGGCTGATAAACGAGAAAGGAGGCAGAAGTCGGGAGGGGCGGGGTTGAGGAGTTATAGGCACACGGCATGGCTGATCCTGACGGCTCTGCTAGAGGGAGGAAGATGCCCCAGTGAGAGATCTGGGAGGGGTGAGAGAGGTGGGGGTGAAGGTGGGGGGGGGAATTCCCAAGGTGTTCAGCCAGCTACTCCCTGAATGTGCCTGTATCACCATGACAACTGGGGCCTGCAGGAGTCCGGGGATTCACTCACACCTGGAGGAAACAGAAAACATAATTTGCATTTTGCACACAGCCCTGCTCATCATAGTAGATTAACATGGTTCATGCAGAGTGCAGACATGTTGGATCTCTGAGAGCTTTGGTCCAGACCAGCTTTCCTTTTTAGTGCATGAGATAAGACGGTGTTTGATTGCTAATTAGAAGCTGAACTGCAGGCGATGGAGTCCAGTAGTTCCACATAAAAAGGAAACGGATCATCTTTATTTGCAAACAGGATGGGCACCAATGTCACTGAATCACTTTGTTTTTAATGACGACAGATGAGACGATGTAATTGTTTACCATAAAATGCATTTCATCTCCCCTTTTCTTATAAAAATTAACGTTCTTTCCAAGTATTTCATCTCTGTTTCAGAGTCAATCTGTTTCCTTGTCTTGGCAGGATTTCCGAGGAGAGTGTGGAGTTCTTTGAGCGTGTAAATGCCATCCTTCAGAAACAGGAGAACATGCTGCGGGCTGCCCAGGCTGAGGTAACCTCCACCCCAACTTCCACCTTTCCATCTGTTACACACTTGAAGCATGTTTGTGTAGGGAGAAGGCCTCAGCGCTGTTTCTCAGCCCACCGTTGTGGCCAGTATGACGTTTTTTGTACAGAAGGACCGGGTTGAGTTGGGTGCTCAGAAGACTGGAAGCTCAGCTGTGACAAGCTGCTGTTGATGGCAACGCTCAGCTCGTCCTGCTGCTACTGCTAACAAGGCAATGATGCTGTATTAACAGCAACATTGCCTTGCAGCACTCAGGCATTATTGCTTGGTTTCTGATGAAGACCACTAGTACAAAACGTTAGCATGTTTGTTTGCCACGGCCAGAATAAATTGGTGAAGTCCTGAATATTTCTTCCACCACTGGAAGGCAAACCAAAGGAAATCAGTGGAGAGGATGATTGACAGTCTGCTGTCAATACTACTTACTGTGACCTCAGCTTCTCCTCCCTCCAGTTCTTACTCAACGGTAGCCATAAGGAAAGCAGGTTATGTTTTGGCTGAACTGTTTCTGTCCCCTTACAGTGTCAAAGAGGGGACTGCACGGTGCCGCCACCTCAAGAGCATGTGGACCAGTCCTTTATACCCGACAGAATCAGCAGGACAGAGGTGCCTCAGCTTTTCTGTTTTCATTGCATTTCAGTAGGGATTAAATCTTAAAAGTCACAATAACCGAACGCAGTTGAGTTTTTTTTTTTTTTTTATCCCTGCTTTTGATGTGCAGCAGAGCATAAAGCATGAAGGCAGAGGAACATTTTATTTTTGAAGAGTTGTTATTAAGTGGAGTGTGTTTTCATGTAGCTGGACCTGCTTTATGAGGAAGCTGTGTACACGGTGGTCAACCGGGTGGGAGTGCCTTCACCAGAACATATGAAAAGTGACGAAGAGCTATTTGCTTACCTGCTAAAGGTATCTATCCATCCATCTATCTATCTATCTATCTATCTATCTATCTATCTATCTATCTATCTATCTATCATCATTAAGTCGATGTTAGTAACACTGATGCTAGCCCAATGAAAAGTGTTATTTGTTGTGAGAAGGCTATAAAAATTCGAACAGATGCTCTTGGCTCAAACCTGATTAAACATCAAAAGCCCAGTCACACTGTGTACTGATATTCTGCAGTGATATTACATTCATTCAGATGATGTCACGCCAAGGATTGTAGCCTCCTTTATTTCTAGAGTGGGTGTCTTTTTTCAAGGTGTGTTGCATTTCCCCAGCTGGTCAGATGCTGGCAGCAGCTCTATAAAATAAAATCCTTTTTAAAATACATGATTTTTTGTGATGTTGTCATAGATTCTATATCCGCTTTAGAAAGCACATCTGTTCAGTTCCTTTTTTTGAAGTTTAACCAGTAAGTGGGTGTTTCAGGTGTATTCAGGTTTTTGTTGCATAAAAAAAAAAATCGTATTGTCTGTTCTCTCCAAGGTGTTTGATATGGGCGAAGAGGAACATGACATTATTCTCCAAAAAGTTCAAGAATCCAAGGTGAGACTCTTTATATATAAGTCTATTCTTCAATGTTGTCAATACAATATCCTTCAGATATACTGAGGCAAGGTAAGCGTTATTCATCAGTTTTCTATACTTAAATGGAAAAATTGATTGATTCAAATCAATGAAACAACTTCTGTTCACAAGGGCTGCCAGAATCAACACAAAATGAAAGGGCTTTGTAAGTGCTTTAAAGGAGACAGCAATGGAATACAGGATTCAAGCTCATTTAAACAGACTCCTAATATATTATATATTATATATATTGTGTAATAACAGACGTAAATGGTAACCAACTGGTGCCTGCAACAATAGCAAACATGCTTAAAAATGTCTAACATACAACAACAATGTTTGCAAACACAGTACGTGGCTTGTGGTGGTGTGTGCCAAACCTCTGGTACATTCCTTTAAGTCATTAGCTCAATAAAACACATAACTGAATTAACTCTTCAGTGGTCACAGGGTGCCACTGAGAAGTGCAGAGTTGGAGGTATCACTTAATCCTCAGTTCTACAGCCACAGATGTTTTAGTGTATTTACTGATATTTTCTCATGCTCATGTGTAGTTTGTGAAGTAGTAATAAGGTGAAAACATGGCCTTGAGAGCCACAGCTGGAGGGCACTGATGAAAAACCTGTAACTCCTGAAAGTTCAAATATCTCTGTTAAGAACTGTGAGCCCTGATGATAGACTGCTGGTTATGTTGTGACCCGAGTCACAATATCTTCCATTTAAATAAATAAATAAATTGCATAATTATTTTTCCTATAATGGAACTTTTTCTACCTTATGTCTCACAAAGTCCTGATGAATATAATACCTGATGAAGCATATTGGAGTTGATTATTTCCATACTCTACAATGGATGCTGGCGTTTATTTAAATGGAGATGCGGGAGAGTTATGAAAATACATTGTGATGTTCTCAGTGCATGACGTTGATATTGTGCATTTACAGTTTCTTACTGAACTCTTTTCACAGCGAGCCAGTTTTTCTTTGAGAGTTTCTGTTATGAAGGCAAAGAATCTGATGGCCAAGGATGCAAATGGTGAGACATCTAAAGCATTACTGTAACTTTTATTTTCTATTTTTCTATTATAAAAGCAGTTATGTGAAATGTGCCCTATGCAGCAACAGCAATATGCAATCAAAAAAATGTCATGGCACTCACCCAATAAACTGTCAAGTGATTCACCGAACATCTTAAAGTTTTTAGTCATTTATGGCAATAGGTTTGTTCATGATAAGCAAGGTCTGTGCAGTTTTGATCGGCAGTGATGATGCAATGCATGATGGGAAGAATTCTGTCCAACCTGCCCATGACTTTTTCATGATGAAATAAAAGAGACTTTCTCAATAGCAGTTGATATCAGAGTCAGGAGGTGCAGTTATCATCTACCAATAAAAACCTAAAAATGGGAATTGGTTTTCCAATTTATGCCTCACTACATTTTCTGTGTACTTGCATTGACTTTGATTCTAATTGCTGCATGGTTCATGATCGCCCATCAGAAGTAGAACATTTCAAATATGTGTACAACAAGAGAGTTTTTACAGTAAAATACAAACATGTAGATACGAGTTTCATAATACATCTGCATATATGAATGTTGAGCCCATATTCTAATTGATTCACTGAACAAAACTTTGATCGTAATCATAAATGAGCCCAAAGACTTCCCTCTTCTTGCTGCTGTAACAGCATCTTCAAGGTGATATAAACAGTTGAACGCCCGCAGTAACCTTTTATACTTGTCACCCTGCGTCCTGCCAGGGTACAGCGACCCCTACTGCATGCTGGGAATCCTGGTGGGCCAGAGCCCGCGGGAGATGGAGGAGAAGAAGGAGAGAAAGTTCAGCTTCAGGAAGAGAAAGGAGAAGCTGGAGAAACGTTCCAGCACCAAGGAGGTGTTACCTGCGAAGTGTATCCAGGTGACTGAGGTCAAACCAGAGACTCTCAACCCAGTGTGGGACGAGCACTTTGTGTTGTGAGTACAGCAGGTCGACCTTCATCAGAGTACTGGACATGATGATATGTGTGACATGCAGGATTCACAGTTTCATTTGTTTCACACTAACAGCCAAAGCTGTTAGTTATGTGACCAGCGCAGCACATTGTCATCTGTGTGGAGGGATCGAGGTGTTTATTGTCAGTATTTACTCACCGAGAGGACAATTCAATTAATGATTTTCCTGTTTTTTTTTCACAGTGAAATAGATGATGTTCACAATGACCTCTTACATCTCGACATATGGTAAGATTAGTGTGCAGAAACACCTTGAATTCCTTGAATGTAGCTGACGGGAGTAGCTGGCTGAAAACCTTAGGAAGCCAAGAGCTCGATGTGAGCCATGTTGCATAACAAATCATTTTAGTCTTTATTCCGCTGTTATAGAAACTTTAAACCCCTCTGGTCAAAGCTCTGTTAAGAGCTGACTCTTTATACAAGTACAAGTTGAGTAGGCTAATGCTTTTATTGAACTACAGTGGCTCTTGACTGTAGATCTCCTTCACTTCTCAGTTCAGTCAATTGTACAAATATGTTCCAGCATGAGATGAGAGGTTATAATAAAGTCTGAATGATCCTCTTTTCTTCAGGGATCACGATGATGACGTGTCTGTTGCTGAAGCCTGCAAAAAGCTCAATGAAGTCAGTGGACTTCGCGGAATGGGCAGGTAGAACAAAATATGTTGTGTAATCCTGAATTGTGGTGTTATGAAAGTGTAACGATCTTACTGTCTTAGATACATCTTAGGTAAAAAATGCTGGAAAATACTTTAGCAGGGTTGTTCTTTTCTCTGAAGGTCTGAAGCGCAACTGAATGACAAATTGAGATTGTGCACACAATTATTGAGTTGGTAATTAATTTATTCATCCAGTTGGCATTGAAGCACTGAATAGATGAGTCAGTCAACATGTCAATCAAAGGGCCATTTCCATTTGAATGAGGGTAAAAGTTTCAGTTCATGAATGAAGAGATCTAGATTATATATATATATATACAAAATACAAACCAACCCAACCAAACAACATACTATTTAATTTTATGAGATTATTTTATATTCGTCCTTTAACTGTAATATTCTCATAGAATATGCTGGATGTTCAATTTAATGACAGTATTTGATGCAGCCACTGTCCCCATTGGATGCTAGATATAATTTGAGTGTGATTTGTTATTATCTCATAGAGAGTCCTTCCCCGCGCATGCTCAGTGTATGTTTTGCATACCAATATACGGCATCCAGTGCTCTGGTTCTTGTTATGTAGCCATCAATAAAAGGCACAGTCATAGCACGTCGCTGTCCGAATCCGAAACATACAGGAGAGATCAGTGCCAATAAAGCAGTGCACACAGAGAACACAAAGAGTTCAGTCATGGCCATGGAGAGACTAATAAATGGCAGACATGTCTAATGAAAGCCTGAGGATGTCAATCATAACCAAGAGACCAAAGGATCATAATCCTGTGGTGGAAAATGTGCAACTTCCATTTGAACAAAAATCTCAGTAATAGCCCACTTTCATTAGGAAATGAAATGAAACTCATTTTGCTGAGTCTAATTGTAAGTCACAGTGGATAAAAGCATTAGCTAAATGCCTAAAAATGAAAACTGTGAAATTATAGCTCTTAAACATGAATTAAACCTGTGACAAACAAGACTCCCTTTTCCTTGCACTCTGTCTTTTCTTATCAGATATTTTAAGCAGATAGCAAAGTCAGTGCGTTCCAATGGATCTGCATCATCAGGTTCCGAGGAGAACGCTGATGACTTCCTCGGATGCATCAACATCCCCTTGAATGTGAGTGTGTAAAAGCTCAAACCAAAACTCACTTGTTAGAGGCATCAAGCAGCTGTGTCAAATCAAACACAACCACAAATAGATTTCCCCCAAGGATGCAATGTGAAAGATTTCCCTGGAAGTATGTCAGTGCCATTAATCTGGCTGGTTTCCTTCTTATAGGAGATCCCAGTTGTTGGCTATGACACCTGGTTTAAGCTGGAGCCTCGATCGAGTACTTCTAAAGTTCAGGGAGAATGTCACCTGATATTGAAACTCTTCACCAGCCAGGTCTGTGCGTTGTAACAGTAATTCAATATACAGAATACTGTTCTTGTTGCATTGATATGAGGAATCTTTTTTTTTTTCTTTCAGAGAGACACAGCTCTATCTAAGAAAGACTCAAATGTCTCTATTCACAAGAAACTGCTGAGTCAGATTGTGGAATACGAGCACACTCACGTTAAGGTGAGTTTCTTCCAGATATTTATTCAAGGCAGACTCTTTAATAAAGTGTTTTATGATTTTTGGCAGTGGTGTACCCTCATGCAACAGCTTTTATTCCAATTACTTTTGAATAGTTTATTAATCATTATAATCCCTTTAATTTGCATTCTTTTTGTGTTATTGCCATTTGCTACCCAAGTGAAAGCATCAAGCTATTAGGATGTCCTTTGATTCAATTAGTTACTTGCTCGGCCTGTTGTTTCAGACAGACCACCAAGAGTGGCCACTAAATGGGATTTTAAATTATAGGCTTTGTTCTGACTCCACCGAAATCAGTTTTGTGTATGTGTGAGAATTGGAGTTGAATTATTCTGGTGTTAGTAAATTGCAGATGCTTGGGCTGCTAATTTTCATTGTCATTATGTTTACATTTACTTAGTGTATTAATAGTTCATTAGTTTATAGTAATGCTTATATTTTGCATTCTGCACTGACTGCCAAGTTTTTGATGAGTACTACTCTACTACATATAATTGTAGAGAGAGCCCTACAATTGGAACGGGCAAGTTTGTCCTCCAGCATGGACTGTACTGGCTCACCATGCTGTGCAAACTGATCTCTCGCCTCTCCAACAGGCCATTATGTGAGTATTAATGGAGAAATAAAATTGATCAGATCAAACATGAAAGCTTTAGCGTCAAGTAAAAGGTGAACGTTTTATTTTTTAACACAGTCGCTGGCAGTGCTACAGCAGCCACCATAGGACCCAGAGGGTGTGCTACTCCCTGCTGCTACGCCTCCTGAGGACCATCGATGCAGAGTGGGACCCTGCCGCTGTGAGGGGCGACCTGGTAGGTTCTTGGCCATCGGCCTCTCAGTAGGATAAAAACCTTTCATCAGCTGGAAACAGTCACCTCATTAGCTCAGCTCTTCACTGACATTCATCAAGGTTTTTGGTTCAGCCAAAAATGTCTCACAGCCAGTGTTCTTGAAGCTATAACTGAGGGCCCTTCCTGTGTCCAGGAGAGGCAGCTGTCAGACAGCTTCAGGCTGTACACAGAGCACTGCCTGTGTCTGATGAAGAACATGCGTCAGGTTTTCCCCTGCACCAGCGCTGCTGCCATTACACGCTACGAGCTCATGTTGAGGTAAAGTCACACTGCCATCACATCACATCACGCACTTGCCTGTTCTGCCATACCAAGAAAACGCTCAACCTCTCACCCCACCAGACACAGAGAGGCTTCAACCAGTGAGTCTGTGGTGGAAGCAGTGTTGGGCTCCTTACTCAAACAGATATATCTTAATCATTGCTCATTACTCATTTCAAAATAAAGTATTTTTTGTTCCTGACCACACATTTTGTTGTATAAAACCTGTCAAATAGCGGTTAATTACACTGACATATTGTGGTCATAAGCAGCAAACAACTTACATGTTTTTACTTTAATGTATTATTCCATATATGAAATTGTGCTACCAGTACAATCAGTAACCAGATCCTGTCATACACTGGTATGAGGGCCATATACTCATGGTATTATGATATTGCCTGTGTACATGTGGAACGTTTAGCTTGAAGATATCACTAAATCATAAGCATTCATCATTGGAGGACATGAATATCCACAGTGAATTTCATGGAAATCTAGGCATTGATTTTTAGACACATCGTCATTGACCAGTGTGTCAATCTAGGGGAGACTTCAACCATAAAATCATGAGAAACAATCCAAAAAAGACCATGGATATCTGTATTAAATTTGATGGCAACCTGGTCAGCTTTGCAGAGATTTTCTGCCCTCATAAGAGTCTTGGACAGAGCGACTGGAATCACCATCCTTTGGCTTCGAATTACCATTGCACAAAAGAACAAAGTTAGAGCAGTGAAATGTACAAAATTAGGGAGTCTGTTCCACATAAATGCCAGCCAGTAAAGTCAGCTTATTATTGAAGTTCATGTTCCGGTGTTGCACTAATTTGGAGGAGACTGTTTTTTATAGAAATTTCTCCAGTAAGAAGTCCAGCTCTGCCCAGTGATCAACACCTCAAGGGAGATCTTTTCTACACCTCTCAGAAACACACACACACACACACACTGACACACACACACACACACACACACTGTGACTCATAGTTAAAGTTCCTGTAGTGATAATGTAGGATGCATAAATTTAGTGAGTATGTAGCTTTTGTGTTTATTTAAATTGAATAACAATATGTTAGTGTATGACGTGAAATCAGCATTTATTTTTCTTGTACTGTAATTGGCTTTTTCCTGTCTGTGTATGCCAGGGGGATTGGCCACATGCAAAACATGCAGGCATTTAAGACTGTATGTCCCCTTCGAAATGAACTGCAGTTGGACATCACTACTGCTGTCAAGGTAACAATGAAATTGAGAAAAAGTTTAATTAAAGGTACCTCGTGGAGTTGATGTGAGGCGATGTACTGAGATACTGAGAAGGGCTTCAATAGCTGGACACCGAATAGTTTGCAAAGCAGCACGGACATGCATCATCATGAAAATAAAGCTGACTTGATGCAGATTTCTGTGTGCTGTAATGTAAGAAGTAAAAAAAAAAGAGGAAGAGAAGACCAGAAAGAGATCTGCTTTAGATGAAGCATTTCATGTAGTAGTAAATTAATTCAACACTATAAGCTTTTAGGGATATGCATGTTGTGTTTTAGTGAGAAAATTTGAACATAAACAACATTGAATACTCCACAGGGCACCTTTAATCAACCCATTTATACTCCTTAATTTGTGTAATTATTTCAACAGAAAGGAAGTGCGGAGTGGTACGAGAGCTTAATTGCACGATATAAACCAGAGGAGGGGGTACGTTTGTACTGATGAGAATAAGTCTTAATGATAAAAATCATTACATCTTATAATCTTACTGACCTTGGCTTGTGAGTTGATATGCAGGATGTTTTTTTATTGTGTACTGACAATGCAGACTCTGGAGGAGCAGCTAAAGAAGCTGGTTCAGGTGGTTGATAGTGTGTGTGCAGACGTGCAGAGAGCCCAGAACATCTACAACAAACTCTTCTACAGGTGAATATCATTGCTCATCAAGAAAAAAACAATGTAGAAATGTTATGCTACTTGCATTAGTGGACTGATATCACTTCATCCTCTGTTGGTTGGTTCTCACAGTGCAGTGAAAGTAGATTTCCTCAGCATATCATACCGGCAGTTGGAGAAACAGGTATGTCATTGAAACTGATGTGAAAAGGTATTGTTAATAAGTCTTTTTTGAGGCATACACAACTGTTGTTGGTCACTTTGACACAGGTATTTGAACACAAGTCAAATTCTTTTATCCTTCAGGTAGCTGATGATGTAAATGTAGCGATGGAGCGGGTTTGTGGGACTTTGGAGCAGGAGAGCTCCAGACTGACTCAGACAATGGGAGAGACCATCTTTGAGCTCTTCATGTCATTGAAAACCCTCAAAGGCTTCCGGGAGTTTCTTCCGCTCAAGTTGGTTATGAGTTCCACTCTAATAACTATTCATATAGAAACCTAAACGGTTTTGACTGGTGCTTATTTGTTTGAAATGTCAGCGAGGAGATGAGACTTCAACCTTTTCTTCAGCTTTGAATTTATTAAAAGGACTTGTGTTCTTCTCTGACAGGGATGCCAAAATGTTGGCCTTGACAGGCTTTCATAACTGGTTCAAGTCCTCGATTCATAAGTGGCTGCAGATTGTTCATGACAGATCCTGTGACAGAATTCGTAAGGCTGTGGAAACAGACAAGGTGAGAGGTTTCTGCTTTTGAAATGATGAATTTGAACACAATGAAAATAATGTAAGTTGGTCTGTGATGACATACAGCCATAAGCTGGACTGAATTCAAGTTATTAAATGTATTTGCTTACTAACATCTACTGTAGTAGCATTTTATTATATTTATCATAGCATATAAACATCTGTAAACTGATATGAGGGCATTTTTTAGGTTTATTGTAAATGATTGTTGATAAATATATCTAAATAAAAGTTATCCCTAAACCGTAGTTGTTTCTTATACTTATGTAGTGTGTAATTAAGCATTTATTAATACATACATTAACCTCCCTATACACATACAAATCCTTTGTATGTAGAGTGTAAAATGATTCATAATATCCAAATGGAATTGGTTTGGTTTTATTTATTTTTTATTATTGGGTTTGTTTGTTTTTCATGAATAACCAGTTCTTAAAATATTCATGTATTAACTGTTAATACAAGGGATTTAACATATAATAAATACTTGTTTTATGTGTTTTGTGAGCAGCTCGAGCCTGTGCAGCATGCCAAACACAGTTCTTCAGCAGTGGAAGTGACAACGTGCTTCGGCCAGGTACGTGAGATCTGGCTCCAGCTGGCCTGGCCAGACTCTGCGGGGGCCTTCATCTTCATCACTCGTTTGACAGATGTGAGTGCCACTCTACATACATCCTGCATGCATAAAACTCTAGAAGATTCATACACAGGATTACTAAAAGTTTTTTACCAGCATTTGAGTCAAAATAAAAAAGAAACAGAGTTATTCAGTTTAATAACAGCACTGGTATTTTATAACAGAATTTCTGCAGTGAGGCTGTGTGCTACTCAGAGATGATCACACGCAAGATTGAGAGGAACCAGCAGGGCCAAGACCACAAGAGCTTCACAGTGCAGGTAAAGCCTATAGCAAAACAGAACTGGGGGAGGGCACACAATGACGTGGAAAGTAAATGTCAGCAAGTGTTCTCCCTGGCAACACAAAGAGCTTAGCAGGAGATCAGATATGTTTACACTCAGAAAAAAAGCAGTTGCCTCTTGTCACTGTCAATCATTTACACTCGCACCCCATCCCTCCACTTCTCTGTAGCCCTGCTTCTTTTCCTTCTTTGTTTCTCCACCTCCACCCTATTTTTCTCCTCTTCTGCTCCTCTTCGCTTTCTGCTAGATCTGCATTGCCCTGAACAACACAGAGCATGTGCGTGTTTTCCTGGGTCACCTGCCCCGTGACCTGGACTGGCAAGGTGTGGAGCGGGCAATGGAGGAGTCCTGTGGGGTGGAGGGGAAGGAGCAGGTTTACAAGGCTCTCAATGGGCAGCTGTTCAATATGGACCTGGACCTACAAAGAGAAGCCAAACGTCTCATTACACTGCTCACTGACAAGGTACACAGAGCATGAATACCTGCTGATCAACTACTCTTAAAAAGACATGCTACATTGTAAAAGTGTATAAGTTAATCAAAAAAATTGTCTAAACTGATTACATCGAAAGTTTTAAGGAAAACCAGCTAAATTCTGCAAGTTTTATTCTTGATGATGCAGCTTTTACGAGTAGTTTTAAGCGACACTAACTTAGTTTATTAAGTTACAGAAACATTCCTGATTAAGTGCTTTTTAGTGTGTATTGTTTTCACAGTACAAATAAATAGTCATGTGTCAAATTAAATAAAGCTAATTTTGAGTTTAATTAACTTATTTGGTTTTACAGTGCGTACACACACACACACACACACACACACACACAAACACACACACGTATCAATTAGTCACTGCCAGTGAAGATCTTGTAACTCCACTGTTATTGTATTTGTTAAGAAAATGATTAATCTTGACAGGTTGAGGTTTCTACAAGCAGTGACTCCCTGTTAGAAAAACAAACTTACTTACTTACAATATGCACATGCACGTGAATGAGAGAATATTTCTGTGCAGATGCTGCCTGAGCTGCGGAGGTACATCCAACACATCAGCCTGTCTCCAGACTCCATCAACAATGATGAGGTAAGGCCTAGTAAAGGTTTTGTATCAGTGGTGTTTGCAGCAACAGTACATATGTAATATATATAAATGTGACATTTTTCTAGGCTGTGGCCCCTCTTATGAAGTACTTACAAGACACAATGGTCATCCTCACTCAAAACCTTGTAAAGGAGAATCTGACTAGGTAATTACTTTCTCTTCTTCCCTCCTCACTAAAAATATGACTTCATTTATTTTCTGTTTGACAGGGACAATATAAATTAATTTTAATAACGATTCTGAGTTATAATTGCGTCACATTCTGCCTAATTGCTAATTTCCATTTGGTGTTCCTATGCAGCTAATGATAAAAGTTCAAAAGAAAACATTCAGTACAAAATTAAAAAACACAAAAACAATTCACAACATAAACTCACAACAAGCACATGCAGCACATGTCCAAGTCCAAGTCCATTGAAACCACTGTGTAAAATGAGAAAATTCCTGACTGCCTCCCAGTGGCAGTATTTTATTATATTATAATAATAATTTAGTAATGATTTATATTTTTACATTAAGACTGATGCATGTTTTGGTGAGCTGGCTTAAAATAAAATTGATATTTACCTTAGGGCTCCTATCTGTACCCTATTCTCTGTATATGTATATATACATATAATGCTGCGTCATCAGCATACATTTGATTTTTAAACCAGGAAGAATGCCAGCAAACCCAAAATTGATTTTGGGGAACTTGAACTTAATAACAGACATATCCTTATGTCAAGTAACACCGCTGGTTCATCTTCTCTAAATAGAATTTCATTTATTTAGTACTAGGTGAAAGCTCAGCAAGTAAGATGTTGCGACTGTGTCATTGAATGTAACAATAATAATACCCTTCAGATATGTTTTGTGCTACAACATAATTATCAAGCTATTATCTGTGACAAACATACATGAAGCTAAGTGAGGGTACAGGGGTGTAATTGGAAGAGCTGCTAAACGTGAGGGTGTCTCATTGTGTCTGCTGCCTCGTAGAGTTCTTCAAAGCATGTGGGAGCTGCTCCTGCGAATGATCCTGGATGCGGTTGCAGAAAACAGGGGCGTTCAGGTGGAGTTCTACAACCGTTTCCAGTACACAGTGGAGGTCAGTGATTTTTGCATTCTATCACAAAATAGTTAGCTATATACTATAGCTGTGTCCAGTCTGGTATAGTTTTGCCGCTAAGAAGAGTAGTCTGCTTAAAAAGACTTGTCAACTCTGTAAAGATTGTCATCCCATCATCCTTTAATTAGCTCTGTATGCTTGCTGTCGTGCAATCATTAGCATATATTAGATATTTATGTAGTGACTAGGTAATAGTTCAGCGGCAGAATTAGTTCCCTCATGAATGACAATGTGAGAGCTACTGTATATTCTAATGCCAATTTAACCAGCTGGCAGGGGATGTGACAGATTTGCATGAAAAGTCATGGCATGCTACACGAGTGGGCTGAGTTTGGAGCTTGGCAGACAGATATTGTGTTTGCCTGCCAGAGGTTTCATGCTGTTTGTGTGAACAACACGTCTTTCTACTATGCTGAGACTTCATTCTATCAAAATTAGAGGGATGAATGCGATGACTCTGACCTCACTCATATATAATTTGTTTTACTTTAATGCTTTAGACCTTGTTGCAGTTCCTCCATGCTAAGGGGGAGGGTCTTTCCCTGGAAGACATGAAGAGTGGAGACTATAAGGTAGGACTTCTTGCCTTTTTGTTTTAGCATTTATGTCCTCATACCTACATTAAAGTGTAATTTATCTTTTTCCCTTTCTGACTGTACTCTTGGTGCTTTAGGTCCTGGATGAGGAGCTCAGGCTGAATAAATGCTCTTCCTTTGAACTGATTGAACAGTACTATCTGGAGAAGATTTCCCAACAGGTGTGTTCAACTTACCAGGCTGGCAATTTCATTTAGCCGTGAAGTGAACAGAGGTGTTTTGATTGGACAGCACAACACCCAGTCTTCTGTTGTTTTAACTCTGATTGAAAATCTGCCTTCTCCGGAAGTCAAGATGCTGTCAGATGATGCAGAAAGTAGACTGATATATGCTGAATATGTCATTTTGGTTTTGTGTGTGTGTGAGGGAATAAGGAATAATTCCTTCACTTTGTTTTGGCTGAGGAAAAATAAATAAAAATCAGTTTTGCATTTACATCATATTATAGAATAATTTCACTGTTACTGCACCTTTACATGCTAATTATAATAATATAAACTGTGTTTAATGCTTCAGAAAACACTCAAACATACCCGTTACGGTCGGATCAGTGTGAAGTGCTACTATGACGCTCCAGAGCAGAGACTGACCGTAGAGATTCTGCACGCTGCAGATATCATTGCACTGGATGCCAATGGTAAAACTGTACAGTCAGAGTAAAATACAGCTTGTTGTTTTAAAGTTGAGTTTTCATTAACTCTTTCATGTCCTCCTCAGGTCTGAGTGACCCATTTGTCATAGTGGAGCTCTGTCCTCACCACCTGTTCCCTATGGCCAAGAGTCAACGCACGCAAGTGAAACTTAAGACACTGCACCCAGTATTCGACGAACTCTTTTATTTGTGAGTACTATTTTTGCTCTCTTCCTCTTTCTACTGTTGCAACACATTATCACTCCCAACTTGTCAAATACCTCAACTTGGTCAAGGCCCCAACTTCCGGTGAAGTTAGTTATAATAAATATGCAGCATCCAGTTCAAAATACTTTCAAAATAAAGCAGTGTAAAGTGATATTGTGAAACTGTTGCAGTTTGGTCAGGTTAAGGCACAAAACTTGGTTAGGATTAGGAAAAGGTTGTAAGTTACTTTACATACCTGAAGTAACTTAAGTACATGAATAAAACATAACCTACATAATGTACCTAACATAACTCACGTACATTAAACTATGTCACCTGACTTTCCTACAGCCTCTTATTTTGACTTTGACGAGTGATGACCAGATTGTCCTGTTTGTGCATACCCTAAGCCCGATTTTTTTGTTTCCTGTGTCTTCCAGCCACGTCAGTCCTGAACAGTACAGACACAGGTTTGCCTGTTTGACCTTCACTGTGATGGACTATGACTGGCTTTCCACTAACGACTTTGCCGGTGAAGCTGTGGCTCCTCTCAGCGACTTCTGCTGGCCAGGGAGACCAAATGCCTCACCAGCTGGCAAGAGTGTCCAGCCTGTCATTCTCCACCTGTCTCGCAGTAAACCCAGTGGTACATATAGCTCCAGGCTATATCCAGTTTTTTGTTTTACACAAACATAATATTGGCTTGTTCTTGGGAGACCAGAGGGTGTGGGTCTGGGTTTCCAATTACTTCTCCAATACAACATGAAAAGCCATTCAATCTAGAGATATTTGTGTCAGGTGTAGGAACTACTCTCATTTGTTTGCTCTCCCCTCCAGAGAAACCAATCATGAGGATGCTGGACGCTCGCATCGGAGACAGGGAGGCTCAGGAGTTTGTCCGCAGGCTGAAGGAGATTGAGAAGTCAATGGAGGAAGAGTAAAAGTTGTCAGCGCTGCTGTATTGGTGTTTTCTGACCACGTCTTGCAACATGTGCTTTTGTACTGGTACGATGTTTACAATATTTGAATTTTTTCCAATGTTATTGTTTGTTCAGTAATTATACCAAAATGAAAAGAAAAAAAGAAACAGTGAAGCTTATCGCTGTTTTCTAACTGAGAGATGAACATCCTGTCACTGTGCAACCCTATGCTGTCTCAGTTAAACTATATTTTAGAATTTAATGGATAGTTGATCCTAAATGTTACTAGTCTATATTTTTTGTAATTAAGTAATTGTTATCTTTGTTGTATGATCTTTGATATGATAGATTTAACATTTCAGAACTATTTTGTGGAAGTAGCTTACATATCCAATAGTATTCAGTCAAAGTCTAAATCTATACCTCAGATATTCTCATTAGTTGCAGGGGAGTTTCATAGAGACTTTTCACATTCTCCATGGACAGTGTGGAGATAAAGTGCATGAAAGCCTATTTAGGATGTGAAAGCTTGAACCAACACTGATTTCCCTGATCATACAGTGGCGTACTAACAAACACTTATGTATAAAAATACCTATGTCATGAAGGAAATCATGAAGACATAGCTTTGGGGAAGTGCACTTTCTGAGACTTGATGTTTTAAGGCCAGTCAGACAGATCAGCAGCAGGGACAGGGCAACAGCCTAACACTCCCCTGAGGCTAACGCCACAGCTCCGGTTCATCCGACTTTTCAGATTGCTCTTCACAAAGCTCATGATGGGTCGTTGACAAGGCCAAACACCTTGCGCTGGGAGGACCAATTCTTTTAACTCAGTTCCTTCTTGCTGTCTGACACCAGTAAGTCAACATCTCTGAGGAAATGTGTAAATATGTGACAGTTTTGCTGGCAACGGTGCACTAATTTAAAGTTGTGTGAACTCAGCACAGTGACAGTGACAGAAACAAACTCATCTGTCATATGTAAAAGAAGAAATTGTTAATTTAGAGAACTGATGAGAAAAAACTGACATGTGTACTGCTTTAATCAATCTGAATCAGTGTTGGTAATTTTAAAATGAATGAGCTACTAATATATATGTTTACAACTGAAGCTCTTGGCTGGGCACAGTGACTTCCTGGAGTCTCTGCTGGTTTTCTGGCTACCTCATGGTAATGACAAGCAATTGTTATCGGATTATCATAATAAAATATTCAGTGCAGACATATACTTTTATGTACTTAATGTAATAATACTTTAAACTAGATTTTGCCAACCTGTGTAGCACCAGCAGGTGACATTTTGGGAGGTAGCCCCCCACAGAAGGCATTCATTTTTCTGTAAGAAATCTCTGCAAAAAGCTCAAGTGCATTTCCTAGCACTGAAGTCATTACCAACAAGATTATTTGTTGGTAATGACTTTTAAACTTCACTTAAATTACTATTTCAAGTTTCACTTATTTATATTGTGTAAATAAGAACAGTTCAACCAAACAAGTTGAACTAATTTCATATTCTTCATTCAGTTCAAATTGATGCTTAATTTGTGAAATGATTTATCATTTCAAAAGCTATATTCAATACCATTCATACTGGCATGGTTATGTGGATGCACCAGGAGACCCTGATGCCTGATAATTGAAAGGTAGAGAATACACCCTGAGGTCCCCAAAGATAACACAGTGTGTGCCACAGTGGGTGGCCTCATGTCCAGATGGCAGAGCTTCAAAAAAAACGTATTAGGAGAAACCCAGCTAATTGCAGTTAATGAGCTAATGTAGCATTCAGAGGTTCTTGAAACAGCCATTAAACATGGCAAATGCCTTTGTTATACTGACTTTAAATCAATACAGGGTCATCACATGCCTTTTATTAGGACTAAAATTTGAACTTGTGTCTGAGTGTGGGGCTTAATCTCTTGAGGTAAAGAGAAAAGAAATTTTGAACCTGTGCGGTGGCATAATTATACTTAGGGGATAGACAAGACCAGCAGCTCTCTTTGGTCTTACGGGCATAACTCAACACCATCTCTTGCCAGCACCCCAAAGCTATGTGTCTTGACTAAAAGGTTAGGATCTTAACACTTTGAAGAGAAAAATAAGGCTCAGATTAAAACCTGGAACCAACTATCATCTTGTGGAGAATATAAAATTATTATGCAATTGAAACATTACAAAAAAAAAAAAAGAAGCACAAATTCTGGTGACAGCTTAATGATGGAGTAGCCTAGATTTTACTCTAGTAGCGGTAACTTAGCAAGCTAATATTATCGTAGCAAATTTAGAGGCGCAGTTTCCTGGACAGACAGAGTTTGAATTAAACCGAGATTATGTTTAAATTTGAAAAAGTTCTGGACTAACCATCTTAATTTCAGTCAGCTGTTCTCTGGTGAGAGCGCACTCTCACTAAAGAGATTAATATCAATCACCTGTATGGTCCTCGTTAGAACTGGAATGAAGGTGCTGAACTGCTCACAAAGATCCCATAATATAGTGGAATCTAAATCATAAAAACAGACAAAGCAATGAAAGCACTGAAACTTTCAAACTGGAGTTTTAATTAAAGCCCAAACCCCCGACTGCTTAAAAAGAAGGACTATTCAGAACCATTTCTGAAAAACCTATTTTGAGTTAATATGGTTGAAAAGGCCACTCTAGTTTATTTAAGGCATAATTTAGGCTTTATTCCTGTCTAGGAAACTTGCCCTTACTCTCACAAATGTAGCTTAAAGTTTACAATGAGTAAATATTTAATAAGACAAGCAAGTCATGCTCCTACTCAAAAACACCCAACATCAAAAAAATTATGCCTATTAAAAAAATATACTCAAAAAATATACTCAAATCAGGCTTTTAGGAGTTCATAATGAATGTTGCCAGTTAAAATGTGGCACTTTTATTGTAGAGAGACACCCTAAAGACAAGTCAACAGGAATACAAAATCGTAACATGTTTAGTACAGAAACACTGAAAAACACTGTAGCAAGTAGGCTACCGAGAACTTAGCACCAAAATGTTCACACCGACAGCATTTTGATAGTGATGTAACTTAACAGTAGCTGCTTGTGTAGTGCTTTGTCGTTACCCTGTGGAGTTGTGAGGATGAAGCACACAAAACCTATATCTATGCCTGGAGAGTGTGCTGCATTACAGGGATTGTTCAGGTGTTCATGAAGACTGCCTTAGTTAATGGGAGCAAGGAATGCTTTTGGTCTATCTGAACAGCACTTGCCTTTTATGTTTTATTTTGTTTTTTAAGATATTGCAGGCAGAATTTGTCTTTGTGTGCATTGTTACTGAACTCTTTCTTCGTTAGTATATTAATATCACCTGCCATTGTTTATGTTTACAACATACTGTAGGTTATCATAAACAAAGACAGATGGACTTCATATAAATAGTTAATGTCTATTGACTAAAATATTCTTAATTTTCAGTGTGGCAGTTATATTTTATCTATATGACTTTTAAAACCAGCTATTCTGGTCAGATGTTTACACCAAAAATCAACCTCACCAATAGATAGTCAAATAAAGCTAATATCTAATAAAATGTATAAGTCACAATAAAACTTTCACACCCGAGGTAGGTGTTCCTGGCACGTCCAGCTGGGAGGAGACCACGGGGCAGACCGAGGACCAGGTGGAGAGATTATATCTCAACACTGGCCTGGGAGCGCCTCGGGATCCCCCAGTCAGAGTTGGTCGATGTGGCCAGGGAAAGGGAGGTTTGGGGTCCTCTGCTGGACTTGCTTCCCCCGCGACCTGATCCCGGATAAGTGGATCCAGATGAGAGTGAGAGAGAGAGATAAAACTTCACGTAATTCACATATTTTTAACAGTAATATTATTAAAAATTAAATTTCCATCAGTTCCATCTATTTCCATGTTTTTTGTGAGAAAAGTACAGTGTCTTTCCCATTAAATACAATTGTTTATGTTCAGTCACAGTATTGTAGATGTCCTTATGTTGCACAGGCTGGCAATCTGGTCAGTATTAACTGAGTAAATTGATTTATTCTGGTGATGTTCAAATTCAAAGAAAGTATTTTAGTCTTCAAATGTTCAGTGAAGTCAATAGTATTATTATTGTATTAATTTCCTACAAAGTACATTTAATAAAAGACTATTTTTTTTGGTCATAATGAAAAAAAAAGGATATGTTTAAAGGTCTTAGTATCCAGTTTGGAAAACATGGAAAAGGATATCGGACTGTGAATCAACAGAATATCGTCACAATTTAATGACCACCAGTGCTGACATATTTTATTTAAGGTACTAATATAAAAATATTGTTGAATTAAGTATTTGGTTTGTTGTCTGTCGTCCAAATTTAAAGGCAACAGGTAGTGAAATGTATCTTCAAGAGGCAAAACACCTTTGTTATTGTAAAAGTGAATTATTTGTCCTTCAATTGTAAATGCCTGTGTTGCTGTTTATTGGATTATACCTTAAGGATGATGTCTATGACCTTGAATAAAAATTGTATTTAAATTTAAACATGGTCATTTCATTAACATGAGCATGAAGTATTTAAATGTGTAATGCATGGATATATGAATAATGGTTTTGAAAAATTATATTATAATATAATATATATTATATAATATAAAAATAAATATATAAATAAACAATACTTGCACCTGTTGTTTCTAGGCTTTCACGCAGCAGGTGTATTTAGTGTAAAAAAACCCTTCTGCGCGACCAGTCTCCCATGTTCCTACCCTCATTGCTGTCTCTTTAATGTATTTCCTTCCCTCTGCAGCAGCTACCTGGAGATCAAACACATCCTGTCACACCAAAGCAAGTAAAAGATCACATACAAACACTGAGAAAGTGTTTATTATGCCCAGTGTGAGATCAGAGGGCCACAGGACTTGCCGCGACACAATCATTTTCATGTCCACGTTTCTTTAAGAGCTTCTATGATAGTACATTAGACAAGAATTTCTCATAGCTGGAGGACATTAGTGTCTGTGAGTGCTTGTACTCTACTGGATTCTAGTCGATACATTTTAAATTGGAAGCCGAGTGATGACTGAAGGGTATTGAATTGTGTGCTGGCTCAGGTGTGGCGAGGACCTTGTCATCTAATGCAGACATCGTGCCCTCTAGTCAGCTCCTGCACACACTGTATCCATCAGTACACCCAAGAGCTCTCTGCTACTTCAATGTCTCTGTGCAGCTGGAAGCCTCATATAGGTTAATACTCTCACTGCTTCCCTCTCATCTCTTCTAGATTGCAAAATACAAGTTGCATTCAGTGCAACTTGGTCAGACAAAATATGTGAGAGGAAGGCTCAAGAGACAGAAAGACTGTTAATTTTAACCACTAGATGTCCTCGTAATTTTACAAATATTTCCATGAGACCAATGCTGGTAGTCCTCTGATTCATTACAAAACTACCACTCAGTCATGGGAGTACAGTCCAGCAAATCAAGACTCTATCCTCTTAAAGCTAATAGTGCTGTCAGGTCAAATAGACATATCATATCAAACACTACAGAGCTATAAATAAAAAAGAAAAAGCATGCCATACAACAATGAAATATATCCAACAAATTGTGGCACTATGCTACAGCTCTTATAGTTGCAAATGGAGAAGCAACTGTGACTTCATCATATACGGTGACAAATTGCGACAGTACACTTGGAGGTTCTTTTTTTTATTACATTTCAAAACTCCTACAAAAAGTTGAATATGTTGGGGTTCTATCCTACTCTGATTAATCCTTCAATTGAAAACTGAAACTGTTAAGGAACTACATTATTACATTGTTTATTGGAATGAGATGCTACAGTGAGTTTCCCTTATCAGGTATTCTTTAAGTTTTGGCAGCAGGGGAGAGAGGTGGGAGTCTTCAGCTGGTGTTCATCCCCAAGAATGTTGGCAGAGTGTCTGCATTGCTGCTGTTCCTGTGCTGGCTCTGGCAGATACATTTAACAGCGCTGTGATCCCTCTGTGTCTTATCTCCCCTCAAACACCCCTAATCCTCCACACAGAAATGTTACACCACAGAGCCTCTCCCCTCCCCCTGTAGGAGCTCAACCTGGAACCCCCACACAGACACTCCTTCTACTTTTTTTCTATCTAAGATTTTAGATTACACACCTGCAGATTCCCTGACGTGGCACTGCATGGCTTTCCTTTGAAGACTGACGCCACAGGTTTAGTCATGACACTCCCCCATACATTTACAGCTGCCAAGGGAGATCATTAATTCAACCTAACCAAGCGATTGTATACTTGTGCAGTATGCTTGTGTACCTGCATGTTTGCTTACATGTATTTAGTTATTTTTGAAGTGTCTTCAGATAAGTTCAAGGAATGGAAGGAATGAATACTTCTGATGCACTTCCACAGAAATGTTCTTTGGAATTATTTCAGACGTACCACATAATAAATGTCTGTTACTGGCAAGTCCTGAGATGTTTCCTTTAGAATAAAGGAAGCTTTCTCACAGACTAAGGACATAAACACCTGTTGCCTGCAGGTGCATCCTTTGCTGTGGCGTCAGCATAATTTGGCACTTCTGAAGTCGGCCTCTCCTCTCTAGCAAATGTGATGAGGCCAGGGTGAGGAGAGGCCAACACAGCAAGTCCTTTGTGGCTTCAGAGGCCTCTGTCGGTGTGAGCAGAGATAACATTGGACAGCTTGCCCCTGAGGAATGCAATTGGGACCATGCTTGGGCCAAAGCCAGAGCCTACACTGAGCCTTTTAACAGAACCCATCACAAAATCATCTCTTCAGCTTCACACAGTGCGGAGTCAGCTGATATTAATATACTAGCATTGTCCAATCCCAGCCCATCGACATGGACACACAGGCTTTGACGCACTCTGGTTAGATTTATCCCACTGTAAAACCAGTAAGTTTTGAGGGCTCTCTCCACAATTTATAGCACTGCTACATTGGAAAAAGAATGACAGGGGAAATCCAGACCCCTGCTCTAAAGAGTTGGTAAGAACAAGTTTAGACCTACATGTACACCTCAGTAGCAATCACTGTGTTAATGTGTTTTACTATCTTTTAGCTCATTGTTTCGGTTTTACAGACCATTACTTTACTGTTTTGATTCACCCTTACCTTCACTCTCATCAACCTCATTTCCAGCAGTAGTAGACACTTGCTTTCTGCATAAAAGTTCAGATAAAGCGCTGCCTACACAGCACTGAAACAGCAGATAAAGTTAGCAGCTAGCTATTGGACATAGACTAGCATTTAGCCGCTAAAGAGACAAACATTTCCCGCAGCAAGAGACCAAAAATAGAGCTAAACAGTAAATATTGCATTACATTCATCAAATGGCCAGATGGGCAAATGGGCAAAACTTCAAATGAATGCTAAAGTTGCTCCATAACTGCTGGATGTGTAAATAGTTTACTTTTTTGTCAAGAAGTTCCCCATATCAACTTCCATAACAGGTATATAAAACTGCATTAATAATTTACTTCTTCCCCATTCTTCCCCGGACAGACTGACTTGGAGCTAGTTTCATGAACAAACTAATCAAGCAGACAGCCCCCCACTGTTAAGCTCCTCCCCTGCTGGTGCACCTGCAGAGTTTGGCTCCCAACCTTTACTCCATCTTTCTGTGCATGCTCTTGTTCGATTGTCTTCAGGGTGTCTACACAGTCATCTGTGCTGTAGACTGTGTAGAGGCCCATGTAATTAGTTATGACAGTTGCACAAAGTATATTGTATAGCTAAAGCAAAAAATATGCAGTGCCTCAGTACATAAAGAACAGTATGTGCTTTACAAACTATCACATGAAGAGCATCTGATTCCTTCCACTCTTTATATATATATCTCAGCAGCCCAGAGGAGGTTCTTTAATTCATTTTGTCATTGTTAGCTCTCCAAGACGACTGGATATCCTGTTTGTGAATTTACTCTCTTGCTGGTAGACGATGAATGGCTGAGTCATAGCAGAGAGGGAGGTTCTACAAAAAACGTGAAAAGTAAAGACAAGAGCATACAGTGGAGACTGGCCAACACCATAGTTTGACGTATGAAAAGGCTGGTCATTTTGGGACTTAAATGAAAACAGAACTGTTTCCTCACAGAGCCCTCTGTGAAGAAGTCATTATTGTGGCATTGCATGTCCACATGAATCCTCTGTTTATCCACTCAGTTCGGCAAGCACACTAACTGTGGTTCCCTGGGTTGGTCCCTAACACGCACATCCATCCACGGCTATTTCAGCAAAAGCACAGTGACTTTTATACCTCTTTAGCAGTGTGTACTCCCTCAAAGCTCACAAATAAATCACAATGTCAGAAAAAAAACGGGAGTAGAATTTCAGCTCAAGTTCATGTTTTCTTTATTTGGTTCTGATGACATTAGGATGCCTATATTGGAAATTATCTTTGTATGCTTGTGTTTACAGTGATTACAGGATTGGAAGAGGGCATTAGATGTCTTTCATTAGCTCTCTTAGTATTGTTCTTTGTCTATGGAAATGTGTATGCGCCATAAGACTTTCTTTTCTCGTGGCAGTTTGTTTTATGCGTGTAAGGGGAGACTAACTTGGCTGGTGGTGTTAAAATGAACTGTTACCTTACCTAGAAACATCAGGCCTACGAACTCTTGTTGCCACACAATGAGAGTCTACCTTACATACAAGAGTGGCTCTGGAGCTGCAGATTTGCTCAAGCAAACAGGAAGTTGTCACTCAAATTCAATGTGCAGAAGGCAATAAAATGTATAAATAACTTTCTGTGAAAGTTTGAGATTATAAAAAAGTTAGCATGACAATGTGCATAACTCTGTTCATAAAAATTAAAAATTAAAAATGTTGAATATGATACTACAACAAAAAAAGCTACTGTAAATGTCATTGTAATGTAACTCATTATAATATATTCAAATACAAGAAGGATGATTTAAGGTTGTAAATGCATGAAATAATTTATCTCATCATGAAGTCTCTCTAATCATTATACTTTATTTTAAAAAGCAGTGCAGAGCAGTGACTATTTCAACACCAAAACATTTGAGTATTACTAAATCTGCTGTGTCTTTATGCTCACTGTTTGCTTTGGCACTGCAAGAGCAAAATGGCAGACTTTGAGGAAAACTGTATTTAGGGATCATGCCAGTAATCTGGCCTTGATAAAACAGTTCAAACGGAGTAATTTTCCTTCAGCGCTGCATCCATTTTTCATCACATTAGTCATACACTGTGACACAGTTTTACTTTTACTATCAATACACAAGCATACGTAAACCTTTTTAGTTTTTGGCAAATGTTGACTGCAGTGATGGATGTAATAAAACTTTATTCCCTAACTAAAAGAAATACGCAAACTGTATCCACTCTAACTGCACCCACAGGGTGTGAAGGTCACAAAAGGTGAAGACTGTAGCAGAGGGAAAAGACTTGTGTCCACTGCTAATCAAAGCATGCTCACTATTGGGTGACCGCGGTGACATTAAAGATGACATTTTGACCAGAGCTTTTTAGTCCTATTGTTATTTATTCCATGTCACTGCTG